CTGTCGTTTGTCAGTGATTTACTTCTTTGCCGGATTTCACACTTCGGCTTCTTACTTATCATTATTATATATAACCTGAACGATGGGACGTAAAACTCCCTTTAATTTCTTTCAATTGTTTCTTGACGTCCTTTTTCAGTAATAGTTTTAAATATTTTATTCATATCCTTTAAATTTTCTATTTCAGGACAAGGCCAGTCTTAAAGCTGTCTTCAGACAATAAACAGCAAAACAAGATGACGAAAAAGTCCGCAGCCATCATCACGAACACTGTTGTTTACACTGCATTTACAACTAGTTTGAATGTTCATTTGCATTTTGTAATTATTTTTAAAGAATCGCTTTTTTCTATTAATTTACTTCTGCTCACAGTTCTATGTAAATAACAACCAATAATTGTCATTACACTACGTCATTATTTAACCTTACCTTGACCTTGATATCTGATTACTTCCGGTTGAAAGGTCAAATAGAAATTGAAAGTAGTTAGAAGCTGAAAGGGGAAGATCTGTTGTATAGTTTAGATTTTATTATTTTAAGTTCTATTATTTTTCCGTCTCTTGCTCAGGCTTTGTTGTGAATTAAACATTGAAATATCGTGGAAGCGGTTTGTCATTCCGGACAGCATACGCTCAATTTCTTTCATCATCTTTAAAGCTGTCGCCAATTCGATTTGGACTTGAAAAGAATAAAATTGTTAACCATTAACTTTCGATGTTTACTTTGCAATAAAGCCTCTTTCATGCTGGTTTGATTTGTGTTTTGAGTTTAAAGTGTTAAACCCTTTGAAAGAAAATGGCGAATAGAAGGAGAAATATTTCGTTGAAGGTTGAAGTTGGTTGTGAGTTCTTTCTGCACTTTCTCCCGTCCGTCTTAAAAAGGCAACATACACGAACAGTGCCTTACAGTGAGATTGATGGGCGGGCATTCACAGACACCCGCTCGAACGCACAAATCCGATCGGAAAGTGAAATAAGTGGCTGATATTTGTTTGGAATAAACGGACAAAAATGGGTGAATTTGATAGTAATAAGCTAGTGACGTTGATAACAACAAAACTTACTTTTATATATAGATGTCACAAAATGTTACTAATTCAAATTCTTCAATTTTCGTCCATTTTGTATGCAATACCAAACAAGATGTGCTTACTTCCGGTTGGTTGGTGCGTTCGAGGGGCTGACTTCGAATACCAGTCCAAGATTGAGGGACAATTGTATAGTGTTTTTGGTTTAATTTTTTGTTGTGAATTCGGTAGTGGATACCTATAGACTAACCTTAAAGAGCAAATGGTCGAATATCTAAGCAAGTTGATTCAAATTTAAATGCTCTTATGCTGGAATTAAATCAGAAACGAAGATTTAAATATTTGTCCTTCAACGGGTACAGAGAGTGCGTTTCGTTTTCTTTTCATACCTCATTCTTAAATCTTAAGCAACCATGATTGAGCAATGTTTTAGTCGTTTGATGATGAGGCCCGTTGTTACGGTCAAGTATTTACAGGAAAACACGAACCCTTTTTTGATATTTTGGTTTTAATGTGATTTTTTGGTTATTTTTGTAACGAAAAGGTTATTTGCATAATTTTTTTATATACAGCATATTTGTATATTTTTGAATTTGATTTTTTTTATTTATGGCTCACATTCCAAATCTTGTCTTTCGGCTGTAAATTTGTTCATTGCTTGCCTCCTTTTTACAAAATTTCTTTAATATTTCTTTGATGAATATTCAAATACCAGATAAATATGTCTCAGTAAATTCCATCCATCGGGCGAATTTTTGAAATTGAAATCTTCCATTTGATTGGATGATAGCGATCATGCGCACTGAAGAAACCATGACAAAATGTCTACAGAATATGCAACAAAAATTAAATTATATTTAAGAGACTTTATTTTCCTATTATTAGATTTTATATGATATAAGGCGTATTTATCAATCATTGGAGAACAAATTCTGCAAAAAAATAATGCAGATACCTTGCAGCAATTCGATTCAGGTTCATACTTTTGTCGGAATTGGTCTCGAGTTCTAAGCTATGTGGTTGATAAATATGACTATGTACCGTTTTTGTCTTTGTTCATAGTTTATCAATAGAAAGTTATATGGATATTCTGTACTTTTACATTTATTATATTATCTAGAATAAATGAATTACGAGTTACTGGTCTATTTAATTATAAATATACCTTGGGGAATAACGTCTGATTTTGTGAATTCTGATTGTTCCAATCTAGATCAAAAGCTAGCCCGGATCCATTCAACTCACATATATGACAGCCAATCAATATCGTTTCTATAGATTTTCAGTTGACAGTATGCCACCAAAACTAACAGTCTAATATATCCAACTGCCTACAAAAGTCTTTTATGTCGTAAGCATGTACAGAAAATTCTAGCTGTTTTCATTGCGGAAAATATTCGAAAGCTTTGATTGGCGGAGATGTATGATTGCAAACGAAAAATATCAAACAGCCCTCCAATCACCGCATGCTTTTCATATACATCTTCATTCATGTACTAGTACAAAAACCCAGATATCATTGAAACGTATCGGGAAGTCTAACATATATTCAAATTATATTATATCATTAAAACTAACTGCACCAACAATACTCTCTCACTAGAGGTTAAGCCTGCATGTCTGTGCCGGTGCTTTCGTAACATTACTTAACCACAATGTTACAACCTATAATTCCAAAGATATTATACGTGCTTAATGTATAAGCTCAATCTCAGATATAAAACTTGGCTGACGATAGAAGAGGATGATAACTCTCCTCTGTCAACCATCATTGTCTTATAACAAGCATCTAAAACTCGGTACTCTTGGCTAGCAAAAAATCACTGATAGGTAAACCGAAGTCCTACTGACTCAAGCCCAACTGTAATAGTCTTACATATAAAACCCAGATCTCTTGACTAGCGAAGATGCTGGTATAATTGACCAAACTGGCAATATGTTAATAAGCTGGCTGGTATCGCGGGAATTACCAGACATACCAAAATACTTCTGGGTATTTCTTTGATATCGCCTCGAAAATAAACACTAAATATATACAAAGCATAAACCATTCTTTCTCAACAGTTTCTGTATAATGGGCTTTTGAATCGGAAAGATTTCATTATGAGAATGTCTGTAACTTTGTTAAAATGGACTTGTTATTAGACTACGAGTGTAACGGGTTTTTTTAAACTATGGATTTAAATAATGGATTAATATGAACTTACGGATAAAAAAAAATTAAATGAAATTAACACAGAAGTGCTCTGTACATTTTTGATTTTTTACAATTTCCGATGCTTTTATTATATGGACTAATAAAACGAAGCAGGGGTAATTTTAAGAAGAACTGAAAAGTGATCGTATAAAACATATTCAATTCTAATTTGTAAAAAAAAGTTATTAATAATATAATAGAATAACTTCGACCAAAAAATGGATCAAAAGGAAAATGTCTTGTGCTTGAAGCTTTAAATTTCTTTTAGTTACTGAAACACTAATAGTGAGCAAAAAATGAATAAAGAAATTGTATCAAATGCATTCATTTTTTCACAATCGATGATTAGGAAAGTTTATCAAAATTTACAAGAAATATAGCGAAAAATTTAATAAGTAGTAAATATATAAATTATATGGTGTTTCTTGGAAAAAATTGTGCTTATTCATTTCTATTGAAAATATACGAAGAAATTGTACCTGCTAAAATATTCATTTCCGACAATAATATGTAGTCCTATATTTTTCAAATATTAAGCACTAAGGTATTACAACATAAAAAGTGTTCCAGTGTTGCCTACAAGCACCATGCAAGTACAACGGATCATACAAAATAATATAGAATATTAGAATACAGACCTACTTATACCAGTTTGTGTGATTTGTGAAACACCTCATTGTCAAGGTAAGAATGTGTGGATCCCTAATTACCCCATTCATGTGTTAAAACCCTACAAGAGTTATGTGATTAATTGGATGGTACTTAGTCTTATATCTGATAGGTTATCCTAATCTATCCTTATTTACTTCAAATAAACCAACTACTAAAGATCCGAACCGCAAAACAAAACCCGAAATCTAAACAACAATCGAAACATAAGTATATAGCCGCTGATGAATTCTTCGCATGAGGAACTACATTAATCATAGACTTAAGTGAGTAGGCCTAAGTATTTCATAATGAAAAGTGGTATCAAATTGTGTCTAGAAGAGTAAGCTATTACTTACCTTGTCGCTGAAGTTTGTAGCTTTTCAAGTATTTCTCACACTTGGCATTCACCATAATAAATTATATAGAATCTTCTTGATCTCGGAAACACGACACTGACGATGTATGACAGAAATGTATGACCAAAACTCCGTAAAGCAAAACGGCACTCTTTTCATCCATTCCAATTTCCAAAGAAGGGTCAGCGTAGTACCAGTTGAGTTACACAAGATTAGACGCCTTTGAAATGTTTTCATTTTGTACAAAGTTCTGAATTGATCAGATAGACGCCACAACGATGTCAAATATCATAATCATTTGTTGTTTTCACTTTGTTTTGACGGCCATGCTCCCTTTCCCGCTAAAAACTGTCTGCCTCGCGTTAAATAGAGAACCGAGAGTTACTTCCCTTATTATAACCCAGGCGTTCGTTAATTTGCAATGACTTTATTCTAGAAATATTTTTTCTGATGGAATTCATCCTTCGAATTCCTTTTCTACGAATATATTTGATTTATTTGCTTTTAATAATAATTTTCCACGTTCACTAAAATAATGTTGTCTTGCCAAACCTTCAGTTTATCTGGATTTGACGTTTTTGTATAATTATAATTCTACAAAGGCGTCCGTTTTTTAAATATATTTTTTATTCAGCTAACATTTGTATTTTGTTATTTCAGTGGTCATAAAATGCCCGGATGTTTATCAGCATGCAATTTTCAGTGTGTATTGACTATGATGTTCTGTGTACAAATTTTGTGTCGGGTCGATTCGCACAGAAAGGAAAACCGGTGTATGAGACATTATTTTGTTGAGACGATTCGTCACCCTAGTCGAGACTGTGAACATAAGGTAGCTGTATTTTCTTTTTTTTCTTTTTTAAGGGCGGACAAAACGGTTCTTCATTGACCCTATCAGATGCAGAAAGTGGATGTAAACACCATTAATACGGAATCGTCCGTAGGCCTACTTACTAAACCATGAACCGACATGAACCGAAAAGACCAGAAACGATCGAGCAGGAAAACGACCGCAAACTATTTTGCGAGTTCTAAGCATGCTAATCAGGCCGAAACAGTTTTTGCGTTTTTAATATTACTAGATTTGACAACAATTCTTATGAAATATATTCACTTAGATTTGATTCTTGATAGATTTTTATTTTGGCTGATCATTTGATCGCAAAAAGGGTTATTTTGACTCACAAATTGCAATGCGATGGCGATTAAATTGAACGCTAATCCAATGTGGTCTTCGAATACATAATTGTTTATTGGGGGATTTAGCTAAAAGGTCAACGACATCAACGTCCAAGTACAAAACATACCAAACTAAAAACAAATTCCACAAAAAAATCATACTAATTAGCGAATACCTGAGTGACGTCATAGGCAAAGTACGTTCGGGTGTGTGTTCCTGTGGGAATATTCGAACATATCTAGACACTAGTGTTAGTAATCAGGTCGTGGGAGGACACATTCCTCGAATACACCCAGTACTACAGGTTAACAGGTGGTATCTTTGTGATACCTACCTTACATGACGCGGCATTTTTGTTACATCATCTATTTTGTTTGGCCATTGTCTTGTTGGTCTATGTGCGTTTGTCCCTTTATTGTTAAATAAACATTGTGTGCGCTGTGTTCTAAAATGGTCTTTTGTAATGACAGCTGTCAGAATTGGTGATACATGTAGTTCGATATTTATATGAAACAATTTCCGAAAAGGACTTAGTATAAGTGTATGAGATTCTAGCAAATTGGTGAATGGATCACGATTCTTTAAAAAGGTATTCAAAAGAAACGGATATTCCTTTTCCATCGAGATTTAAAGAAATACGTCTAAGGCACACCTACAGTCTTAACTTTTTCTATTTTTCAATTCTCTCTACTTTCACTTTCATGTATCTGAATGCACGTGCGTGTTTGTTTATGTCTATTACTCATGATAGAAAGAATATAAAAGAGAAATAAAATGGAGAGAATATTCCCTCGGGGAGAAATGAAACCACGACCTAGAAGATTTCCAGATGAGCCTATATCAACATCCGGGGCAAAGGTCACACGATTTGATCGTTTGAAGTAATCTACTGTCGGTATCTTCGGAGACGTTTCAGCACTGATACAGCCATGATTTGAGAATATTCTGTCATCATCATCACTACGTCATCAGCCATTGTCATCATCGTCATCGATCAACATCATCAGCCACCATCATCATCATTTATTGCCAACAGCATGCTCGTCATCATTGTCACCTTCATTATTATCTCTAAACATCATCAGCCACCATCATCATCATTTATTGCCAACAGCATGCTCGTCATCATTGTCACCTTCATTATTATCTCTAAACATCATCAGCCACCATCATCATTTATTGTCAACAACATCGTCGTCGTCATGGTTATCATCAGCCATCGTCGCAATCAGCATAATCATCATCAGCCATCGACATTATTATCTCTCAACATCATCAGCCTCTATCAGTACCATCGTCATCAGTTGCTCTCGACATCACCAAATCATCACCATCATTAGCCGTCTCTCATCAACTTCATCATCCTCGTAACTTTCTTCCCCCAGCGTTATACCATGCACTCAAGTATAATAGCCTCTCAAAAAGAATTTCAATATAGATCATTACATCAAGTGTATGTTTGGCAGTCGGTTTATTTGAAGATTCTGATTATTTGATTTAAAACCCCATTCGAGAAAATTAACAGCATTATTGTTGTGCCATATGACGTATTTCAAATAATAAAATTTACTCACGAAACTATTAAATCTTATTTATGACCAGAAAATTTACGTATGTTGATTCTGGAAGATAATTTGTAAAATTGAAATTATCAGGAGATTCCAACCTGTGAATACAATTGCAGGCATCGGTGCTCTCGGGTTTTAGAAATGCAACGATTGATCAGATGATTCCATCAAGCAGTCTGTTTCATGACGTCATCAAACACTTATTTTAAGTGTAATTGTGGGAACCACAGACGTCCGATTGAAGATTAGAATGATGCTATCAGTGTCCCTAATACACATATAAATTTCAGAAAACCTCTCTACAATCCCGCTTCCCCGCCTTGCCCTATTTTGGCGGCGAATATGACGTAAAACTCCGTATTATTTATAATTTCAGAATGTATTATTAGCAAGATGTGAAGGGAGCTGCCAAAAATCAAAGACTATTCCAAGGATATCCTTTTCCCCAGTTCTATATCGGCCCTTTAAGTACAGCTGTCCTTGTTGCCGCGATGCTCTGTCAATCATGAAAGCGGTGCCTTTGAAGTGTAAAAATAAGAGACGCGTATTTGCGACGTATAGATACATTATTCAGTGCGCGTGCCATTATTGTGGATACAGCAAAAAGAAACAATATGGCTTTGGATAACGCTGGATTGGAATATACTATTTTTTTTTGGTCGTGTCAGTGCCAGTGCTATACATACATATACTCTGCTAGTGCACAAACACTTATTGTGTCGTAGTCTCTAACGCCCAGACTATTGAAGCTGTGCGTAGACAAAGAGGATCTGGATGATCGAGGCTAGTTGTGCTGTTCGTAATCATTTTTTAAGTCGTGAACATATGTCATGCGGGCTCACAGACACCGATTTGTATATGTTGGCTCATCCGAAGTCTGATTGACAGTAGGGGGTTCGTTTGTTGCAAAATACCGGTACTTAAACGGAGAATTTTCAATGTGATCAATTAAAATCACCTGCGGAAAACGGACCAATCTAGCTTCTGTGAAGCCCGCACTATACGCCATCATTTTTTAAATTGTGTGTTTGGTCAAAGGTGTATCAGAGGCTGGAATAGAGTCAGAGGTTTCGGACTAAGTCAAAGACAGTCCATATAATATGAAATATGTAAAGTGGCAGAAAAGAAATACCTGAACTCCAGAGAAAATAAGATTCAAGCAGTAGCCAGTCCAGGTTTTCTGTATTATATGTTTGTTTAATTCTCATGTACCTTAACTAAACGTTTAGGAACATTACCAAAGACATTTATATGCCTCAGAAATGAAATAAAATTTGATAAGTGTAGAGAATATACTTGAAGATGATAAAATTGTACCCTAAATTCATGTTGGCACTTTTATGGCTGATAAAATGACAGAATTAATGTGGTTTTAAGTTAAATGTTCATTTTTCTTTAATGTAGTTTTGGTTGGACATGAAGAATACAGAATTATTAGATGCCACTACACTACAAATCAAGTACATTTGAATAGTCTAGGCAAAATGTACTGCTCTATGCAAAATTGATTATTCCAGGCAAAGCATATCAGTTTGTGGCAAAATCTGATCATGGTAAAATGGACTAATCATGGTCAAATGTACTGATCATGGTAAAGTGTTCTGATCATGGTAAAATATACATACCATGGCAAAGTGTACTGATCTTGGCAAAATGGACTGATCATGGTAAAATATACTGATCATGGTAAAATGGACTGATCATGGTAAAATATACTGATCATGGTAAAATGGACTGATCATGGTAAAATATACTGATCATGGTAAAGTGGACTGATCTTGGTAAAATGTATTGATCATGGCAAAGTGTACTGATCATAGTAAAATGTACTGATCATGGCAAAGTGTACTGATCATAGTAAAATGTACTGATCATGGTAAAATGTATTTATCTATGGCAAAATGTATTGATCTTGGCAAAATGGACTGATTATGGCAAAATGTATTGATCTTGGCAAAATGAACTGATTATGGCAAAATGTAGTGATCTTGGCAAAATGGACTGATCTTGGCAAAATGTACTGATCATAATAAAATGTACCATATACAAATAGGAAAAAGTACATGTCTAAGTCAAGTCTTCAGTTATTAAAAGAATTTTTAAAATTGTTTAAGAATTTCATTCAATCATTAACTCATGCAGGCACTATATAACAATAACAATAATAACAAAATATATCATAACACAAATCATTAAAATAACAAATCTGTTGTCTTGTACCATTTACTACATTTAATATTCAGTCAGCATTTGCAAGACTAGAAACATAGTACTATTTAATACTATAATAAAATTTCAATGTACAATTTATAGGGAGCAAAATTTCATTGTAAAAATGTCTTTCGGCATATTTTAACCTTAAAAATTTTAATATTTTACAGAAATTTTCAAAAAGGGCAATTGTCGAAGACTAGAAAACAGAAAATATGTCAATAAAAAAAAATAATAAAAATTCTAATATTTCTTTGTACAATTCAGTCAGTATTTTAAAGGCAAAAAACATTGTAGAAGTCTAGAAATTATGCAATATTCTAAGGCTAGAAAGAAGAAAGAGTACATACATATTTCATTGTCAAATTTCAGTCAGCGGTTTATAAAGTAAGGTAGAATATATATAGGTTTAAATATACTGTAAATTTTTTTCATCTGTACACTGATGAATGTACAGTCTAACTTGTGCTAACGGCCACCCGATTTCAGCATGACCCTTCAAACAACAGTCAGTAAAAATTTCTTTCCCATACAATTGTAAGATTAAACTCTTATATTCCTTTTAAGAAAAAAAAACATAAAACCAAGACTAAACTATGTTCTTCAAAAACGTCTAGGTTTGTTGAAAAGTTAACAACGCAGTATAATCAAAAATAATCTGCAATCTATAATCTAAAAGCTAAATTGAATTTTATACTTCAACAGATTGTGAATAATTCAAAGGGATATGATAGTCTAGAAAATTTTAAAGGTACCCTATCACTTAAAAATTGACGGGCAACATTCATATTGACACAAAAAATCAACTGCCATAATCTGCTAATTAGATGACCAACAAATTTGAAACTGATTAACCAGACATTTTCTTTACAGTACAGACTAGTAAATTAAGTCTGGATAATTGAGATAATTCAACAACTTTAACTTTTACACTTTTGCTGAATATAATTGACAGGGAACAGAAACTCTCCTTAAGATCAGAAATGAGCTCTTCCAATTATACACATGCAGTTTCTTATTGATAGAAAGTATGCATATGTGGAAGAGTTCAATAGAAAGTTGAGGGGTGTCAAATAGATGACTGACACACTTTATCCAACCTTGTTTGAAATGGATGTGTGACAGTTGGTAATTTTTGAAAAATCTCACCAATTAATGATGAAAAATTAGATGCCCAAATCCCTTAAAACCAATGAATTATGTTCCAGTAAAGTGTAACAAATTCAGATAACACCTTGTGGGAATTGATGTACATCAGATGGTAATGCTTTAAATCCCTCGAGTTAGTAGTAAAATTAGATGCCAATATCCCTTTAAACCAATGAATTATGTTTCAGTAAAGTGTAACAAATTCAGATAACACCTTGTGGGAATTGATGTACATCAGATGGTAATGCTTTAAATCCCTGAAGTTAATAGTGAAATTAGATGCCAAAATCCCTTTAAACCAATGAATTATGTTCCAGTAAAGTGTAACAAATTCAGATAACAACCTTGTGGGAATTGATGTACATCAGATGGTAATGTTTTAAATCCCTGAAGTTAATAGTGAAATTAGATGCCAAAATCCCTTTAAACCAATGAATTATGTTTCAGTGAGCTATAACTGTAACAAATTCAGATTATAATACCATACCAGCTGTTACCATCCCATACCTTCACAACAATAGTAATTATATATCACAGTTTTATGATATATTAACTAAATATTTATTCAATCTGACAAAAAGTTATCATATATATATTGCTTAAATTGAGAAACATACAAGTTGGAATAATTATAAGCTGGATTGCATAATATATAGACTGAATACAGATCAACAAATTGTGTAACCACCAGAGCATATAGAGCATAAGAATGCCTTATAGACAGCATATAAAGCAATATATTACCTATGTAGAGCAGTAGACTGCACAAAGAAGATGAGATCAAATATAGAGCATAAGGCTGCATAATCCTGACCATATAGAGCATAAGGCTGAATAATCCTGACCATATAGAGCATAAGGCTGCATAATCCTGACCATATAGAGCATAAGGCTGAATAATCCTGACCATATAGAGCATAAGGCTGAATAATCCTGACCATATAGAGCATAAGGCTAAATAATCCTGACCATATAGAGCATAAGGCTAAATAATCCTGACCATATAGAGCATAAGGCTAAATAATCCTGACCATATAGAGCATAAGGCTAAATAATCCTGACCATATCGAGCATAAGGCTCAATAATCCTGACCATATAGAGCATAAGGCTAAATAATCCTGACCATATAGAGCATAAGACTAAATGATCCTGACCATATAGAGCATAAGGCTAAATAATCCTGACCATATCGAGCATAAGGCTCAATAATCCTGACCATATAGAGCATAAGGCTCAATAATCCTGACCATATAGAGCATAAGGCTCAATAATCCTGACCATATAGAGCATAAGGCAGCCTAAAAAGACTGAATATAGAGCAATAGATTGCATAGAGAAACTGCATAGAGCACAAGAAGAATAATAAGCTTATAGAGTATTTAAAATTTTGTTTATATTTCAGTCTGCTATTCCTAATTCTGCATTCTGAAAAGCGATACAGAGAGTTCATATTAAGCTCTATCAAATACATCCCTTTAAATATTTCAATTAAAACAGTTAAAAATAAAATATCTTAAAAAATATATCCATCACCCAACACTCTCTCTCATTCAAAACAAAAGTTTCATAAGGCTGCATTGTTACATAACTTGCATCAATTTAAAGAAAATCATCCTCAAAATTTTCATATACTGATACATCACTTTTAAGGCACTTCAGTTATCTTATGCTAGAGGAAGCTGAGTATAATTTTTCGCCCGATTACATCAGTTAAAATAACCAGTTATTTCGAGTCCTGATCATAAAGGACACTCATAACAGAGCATACGCCACTCTGTGAAAAACAGAGGCAGCCATTTTGAACATCATGTGATATCAAAGTTATAAAATATTGATTGCTCAACAAAAAAAAAAATGGACATGAGCAAGCTAAATTTGCTACAATCAGGCAAAAAAATATGCTCATGTGCCTCTAGCATTATGAGGCACGATGAACCATTCACTTTTTCAAAACTGTTTCTTTTTCTTTATCAAGGTTGGACAATCATATACATCTCACTTCCATATGTAAAACTTTAATAAGATCTTTATCAACTTATGATGGTCGAGTATTCAAGAAAACAAAAGCTGCCACTAATACTGCCAAAACGCCCAATACTGGTAGAACTACTGACCATACTTTTTGTTTATTAGCCATGAATTCTTCTTTTCTTTTCCTTTTTTCTTTATTTGATTCTTTCTTCGCTTTGCCTTTAAGCTGCCTCATTTTGTTATGCCTTTTTTACTTCTCACTGGAAGGTTAAAAAAAGAAAGACATACAGTAAGCTTATAACTTTAATTTTTTAATGAAAACTTGGGCTATATCTGATTAAAGAGACAGGTTTGCCATTTTTAAGAGGTTGATTTTGGTCTTGAACAAAGGTCTATGAAAAAGGTCATCAGAAGTACTAGAATGTCTGGAAATTGCAAAATTCCTTCAAAAATATTCCTTTTTCTATTCTATATTCCTATTTCTATGTATGGCAAGAGACTCAAGAAAAAATGAGGAGTCATTTTAACTTAACAAATAATCTGGGACACACATGGATTTGAAGGCTCAATTTTGATGGTGAACTGTGAACATTATTACCGATTAGCTCAGCTACAAAATAAACGTTTCTCAGACTAAGGTAAGATTGGTCAAATAAATGGCGAGTCTGTCCCTTTAAATTAAAACAGTAAGTCCAACCTATGACTAACTTGGCTTTTAATGCCATTTATGGTAATATCACCAAAAGACCATCTAAATAGTATTAGGCGATATTTGAACATTTTATATTATCAATAATTAACAAAATGTGATGGGGAAAGTAGGGTAGGCCATTCATTAGTTAGCCACTGAATAAGGTCAGAAAAGAAAAAGACAGCCATCTTACACTTTCTTGATTTAGGCCTACAGTGAGTGCCAGTTCCGAGCAATACAGATTTATGCAAGCACTTTCTCGGGACAATGAATTAATAATTTATAATGGCATGGACAATAAATTTATGTCAAGTGCATAATGACAATGTAAAGTTAAAAAGATCTTGGCAAGGACTAGTCGTAATAAAAAGCTCGGAGAAAAAACTGAAAGACTAAAATGATTTACCAGATGTTGCATCAACTGATATCTAAATCAGCAGACTTCCGTTCACTGACAACGTCAACGTGTCACAATGATCAATCTTTCACCGTTTCCAGTTTCTCGAAACTGACAACAATGTCACGTGACTATGCCACATTGTCAAGCCGTTAAAAAGTCTTTCGGTTTGAAATGTCGTAAAAATGTTTGAAAATTGATTCATGGGAGGTAACTCTTTCAAATTAATTCAGACTACACGTAAAGCTAACAGAATTCTGGAATTCTTATCTCGTGGCAATCCAGCAATTTCTTGACACTTATTTTTTTTTTGAAAGATTTAGTTGCTCTGTTTTTTTTTTTGTCAGTGTAGATCTAATCGTTTCTGAATTTAATTTGATGAGCCCAAGACATCGCGTTCAGATTAAAGTTAAATTATGATCTATGGGAGATAACTCTTCTTAAGCAAGGCTACGACAGCAAATAACACACTATTTTTTATAAACGTTGCTTGATCTGAATCTTTTAAGTAATAGATCACATTAATATGAGATGAAATAATGATGTGAATTCGCATTAGTAAAATTTTTTGTTTTTATGTCTGATTTTAAAATTTAACATTGCTTCGTTTTCAAGTTGAAAGTAAACAATTTTAACATCCAGATTCAAAACTAAATCAAAAGTAGGCCAGTGGTAACTCAGGCAGATTGGTCACGTTACAAACGAAGATTGTGAGAAAATACTTCCCTTTTCTATTTTTATAAGAAAAAAAATAGGTTATCTGTACACGTTGCACATATATTTTAGTGTGTGAAATATGATGTTACGGAATAGATATGCACCTTTGCAAAGGGATTCTTTGGACAACATGAAAAAGGCAAATCAAATAGTAAATGAATGAATCGTCCTCGGATCAGGCAGACGCATTCATTAGGAGAATCAATAGACTCTGAAAATCCAGTTGGGTTGGAAATCAAATGGCAGTAGATAGGGGTTGGGAGAGTGGAACATTATAGCAAAGACTATAAATGTCACTGTGACAAAATATCTTATCTACTAATTTCTAGACTAGGGCCTAGGCTAGTGTTGCTTGTAATGTAACTGTTAAGCTAGTTCACTGACATTTACTAATCAGCTGAATCACTTTTTGATAGTTTACAAATTTTGACAGAAATGTCTACAAAAGACTCAGTTTAGTAGGTTAATACCAAAGTGTATATCTTACTTCTATTTCAGATAAAAATGCCACGTGGGAAAGCAAAGAATTCCAAGGACAAGACTAAACAACAAACAGAGAGTGAAAATGATAGTACAGAGGAAGAAATGGATACAGAAGATGACTTTGACGGCAGTGGGATTTCGCCCCCAGTGTCATCAGTCTTGACCAGAGGCACTACAAGATCGCCAGTCTTTACGAGACACCAAACATATCTTGCATCCTCAATGTCAACAAGTCACAATTCAATTCCTGGTGACAAGAACACATCGTTATCAGGCTACAATTCATCCAGAGCTTCAGATTCTGATATTAGCCCATCGTCACCATCCAAATACACAGATTGTTCCTTTGAACCATCTCCAAGCCTAAAAAGACGAGGAATTGCGCAGCCAAAGGGGACATTTTCTAAATTACCAGATCTTGGAACACAAGAGTTCATTAGTGTTACACGTGAATCTACCCCATCACCTTCACCACCAAAAGTTGTCAGCAAGAATAAAGATGTCAGCCAAAATCCAACAAACTATTTCTGGATAGTTATACCATGTGCTTTTTTTGCTATTGTCATTTTCCTGATTTTTTCCCAAAAACCAGAGCCAGTCGCATCTTTCAATCAGTTCGAAACATTTGTTCAAAATATTGACAATTTCCAATCACTGTTTCCAGCTCAAGAAAACCGATTTTGGCGGACTGTGAAAGCGTCTGGAAAACATGTCTTAAATGTATCTAATCCTGATTATCCAGCAATATTGTTATTCGTGACCAGGTCTAAACCAGCAAATGATGATCAATTTGATGTGGGTTCTTGTCTCGCTCGAAAAATCAGTGCTCAATTTGATTCTGCAAATATGGTTCAGACTAGTGGCTCCCCCATTGTTGATGTTGGAAAATTGACCACAGGATCATCTCAACAGCAAAAAATGGAGTTTGATAACCAATTGCGTAGTTTTTTGGAGAGCGACTACAAATCAGTTATTGTCGAACATTTGGAACTTTTGAGTCCGTCTGCTGCACTTCTGCTTCATGGCTATTGTGATAATGACAATGCTCCTTATAAGGACATCATGATAATATTGGTCTTCCATGTTGAAAATGATAATATCAGCCCAAGAGCGGCAGAAGCTCTTTTAAAACAGTCCTGGGAAAGAGAACTAGAGGCAGATAAGGTTGATGCTCTGATGAGCCGTGTAGCCAATAACATTGTCATTGTTCAACCAGAATCCATTGCTTCTTCATCTCAGTGTTACTAAATTTAGCTTTCTGTAACTAAATTTAGCTCACTGTTACTCAACTTAGCTTTCTGTAACTAAAATTAGGCTTTTAGTGACTAAAATTGTTATATTGTTCATTAAGTTAGTTTTCAGTAACTAAATTTAGCTTTCTATTACTAAATGTAGCTTTCGTGAAGTAAATTTAGCTTTCATTAACTAAATTTAGCTTTCATTAACTAGATTTAGCTTTCATTAACTAAATTTAGCTTTTATTAACTAAATTTAGCTTTTAATGACTAAATGATTACTAATTTGAATATAATAGCCATTCCATAAGACTTAGGTTACAGATATACAAATTACTTGTTAAAATTCAAAATTTTTTACAAAAGAATTTAATATACATGACTGATTGTATTTCTATTATTTATAAATGAATTAAAGGGATACAAGCTTCTATATATTTGCTTTAACAATGTTTAATATTTTATTGAATTGCAATTGCAACTAATAAGTGATAAAGGTAATGGAATTTCAACATCATCAACCTTTTGTTGAGTCATATCACTTTAACGCTTTGATACCAATAGCGGGTCCGTTGACAGTTGGATGAATCGATGAAGAGTAGGTTAATGCTTACGTCCTGGCAAAATTTCCCTCGTTTCGCTCTGCAGAGTGTTGCCATTCTTCATTAACCCAGTTAAGTGCAGAAAAATAGGAAGTAAAACTCTATTCTTTTTGGAAGTTTGGCTAGCCCTCTGCAATTTATTTTATTGTTGCCATTTTTACTGGTAGACTATGTCCAGACTGTCACTTTGTCAAATGATTTTTGACTGCCTTTACTCTAAAGAATTAGAACATGAATCAAGAAGTCTGCAATGCTCAGACTTTGATTTTTAGAAGAAAAAAAAAAGGATTGCCCTTTCAAATTTTGGAACAGACTGCTCTCCATAAATTTCTTTCAGGAAATAATTGCTAAGATAGTTGTCCATAAAATGGAAATTACTATTCACGCATGCGCATTTCTCTACCGGCCATTTTCGCTCTGAACACGAAAGGTGAGAGGATACATTCTTTGTTATTTTCGACTCCCAATTGAAGAAGTATTTGAACGATCGTTGAGATAAAAGTTTCCGAAAAAAAAGAACATTCATGGAAATGCTATTTCATTACTATTTTGCCTAGGTAATCCGAAAAAGTAGAGTAAACAAATTGAAATGTCAACAAGCCAAACCAAAGATCTTTCGATTTTTTTTTCCATGATTTCTTTCTTCCACTTCCTGCAACTGGGAACTTGAAGAAGATGTTAATTGTTTAAAAGTTTAAATGTTCCACAATTTTAAAAGGAATCAATATATATATTTTACCAGTAACTAAATGAAAAAGTAGTAGAATCTAGATCTCGGCCTACCCTACACTGGATATCGGTACTCAATATTCTTGGTATTTGCACTGCAGGGGAGTCCAAACAGAAAATTTTTCTTGCATTTTCTGTACATATACTGACGATAAAGTGGATCTTGAGGCACATAAGATCGTGCTGGTGCTGTAAAGATTTGAGATAAACTCTTTAAATTACAGATATGATCAAAAATTAATCAGAATCGGCCTTATTAATATCATTGCCTCTAACTAAGGGAATTAGGCAAACCTTACTTTTTAACTAATACAATGAGATTAATGACTAAAATTGATTGTCAGTGCAGATAGGTAGCACCTTTATCAGAGCACTTAGTGTCATTTTCAAATTTGACCACAAACGACATTTAAGGATGCGCTGTATTATTTTATTAAGACCTTAACTTCAAATTATTTTTTTCCATATTTTTATTGCATTTTTTTATTCATATTTTTCAAGATTTTTTTTTTCAAGGAGTTTTAAAGTTTGCTCTATAATTTGAAGCAAATATTCTTATAGTTTTTTTTCTTCTGCAATTGAAGTTGAAGGTAATTTTTTTTAATTTTTTTTTTATTTTGAATAAATTTTTTAAATTGGATTATTTTTATCTATGAATTATTATTATTTTATCTTTTGATAATTATTATTTTATCTTAAAATACAAAAATTTGCAACTTGTGTAAGCATTTTCAACCAACATTTAAATAAAAAAAATCATGCATTGTTTTTTAAGTGCTATAAGCTTACTTGACATGGGATGAAATAAAAAAAAATTAATTTGGTTTTATTCATTCAATTTTTATTATTAAAAAATAAGAGAAATATAGTGTTTAAGATATAATGGCTACATCTTTGACTGTTGCTGTTGGAGATACCTTTTTTCATTCATTTATTCAAGCAAAACAAATTAATTGTAATAGCTAAATAGCTTACAGACTAGACCTATCTAAGATGAAGGAAAAGCCCCATCATTTAACTTTATATTTAATTAGTATTGCTTTTGAAGTATCTCTATCAGTCTTAGCACCCCCTAGAAAAATGGTTAGCGCCCCTCAATATTATTTTTTCTACGTTTTTTGCCCTAAACTGTATGTGTCAAAATGCACTAAATCAATTAAGTTTTTCGAAAATTTTCCTGGGAAAACCCTCTCATTCGCTCTATGAGAGGCTTGCAACTATGACGCCTCCACAGAGTTGTCGCATTTTAAATTCAGTCTCATCAGTTGTATCCCCATTGGATTAGACTTGCGCCATATTTGTACCCCAGTATCTCGGGAGGCTGGCTCTGCCACTGATCCCTAATATACAAGTTTGTTAGCTGAATTTTCAAGCAATACTGTCTTGTTGAAAATATGCTTACAACTGGCATATTCTTCTGTCCAATCAATGTATCAAATATTTTAATATTTTCTTTTTTATTTTCCCAGGTGCTTTTATATTTTTTTTATCTTTTTTTTTTATTTTTAACTTTCTAATGGATGCAGTAAAGAAGAGCCAAAGTGGATTAAGATGGACGCCTCCATGGAACACGGAATGGATGATGGCGGTCATATGGATAGAAGTACCACCAACTTGATCATAAACTACTTACCACAGACATTATCTGATGAAGAATTTATTTCTATGTTCACCAGTATTGGACCAATCAAATCGTCCAAAGTTATCCGAGACCGCGCTTCGGGATACAGTTACGGATTTGGATTTGTTGACTATCAATCGGTGGAAGATGCTGCACGTGCCGTTCACACATTAAATGGACTCCAGTTACAAAATAAGAGAATTAAAGTCGCGTTTGCACGTCCAGGTGGCGATACTATCAAAGGAGCGAACTTGTATGTAAGAAATATCCCATCTACTTGGAAAGAACAAGAACTGATTGCCATGTTTGAAGGATTTGGACAAATTATTCAATCTCGTGTATTGATCGAGCCTTCCACAGGAATTTCGCGGCGAGTTGGATTCGTTCTCTATGACAAAAAGGAATCGGCTGATGCTGCTATCAAGCAATTGAGTGGGAAAGTCCCACCTGGAGAGACTGATGCACTGATGATAAAATATGCTGATGATAATTCTAAGAAAGTTCGACCACCAGTATTCCCACCTGCTATGACTCAAGGTCCACGTTTCGGTCATGGTGGACCAATGAATGCAAACAGCCGAGGTGGACCCATGAGGAACCAAGGAGGCGGAAACCGATTCAGATATAATCCAATGATGATGGGACCTGGAGGTCAAGGAAGTCAAGGTCATGTGATCTTCGTGTACAACATCGGCAGCGATGCAGATGAGAAAACTTTGTGGCAATTATTCAGTCCGTTTGGCAGTGTCACCAAGGTGAACGTTATTCATGACACGGCTAAGAATATGTGTAAAGGTTATGGTTTCGTGACCATGACCAATTTGAACGAAGCTGCCAATGCAATTCAGTGTCTCAATGGCTATTACTACAACGGACGCGCCTTGCAGGTTTCGTTCAAACAAGGCAATTAAAGTGTGACAGACTTGTGGTTTATTTCAGAATTTATGTTTCATCATGTTATGCTTAAAATTGTGCTTTGCAAATTGTAATCCCTTGAATTTTGTCAATATCTGTGCAACCCAGATCATTTTGAGAAATGTTTAAGACATACACAATGTGGTTTATTCGTATTTGGATTTTGAATGCAGACTTTTGAAAATGTTGTTACATTTTATATTGTTGCTGGATTTTTTTTGTATTCAAATTTTTTTTCATCACTTTTTTTTTTTTTCACTTTTTGCATTTGTTTTCAAATTTCATATTTGTTGCATAGATACCAAAACAGTATCTTTGAATGTTGTTATCGCACTTGTTAAACCCTCAGCCCACCAGCTTAATTTTGTAGATGTTTTGTGCTTTGCAGATCTAGTTTTGAAATATAATAGAATTTCAGCTGAAGTTTATTGATATTCCTTTTTGAACATTTGTTTCTATATGATAGACAATAGTGATTCTTTTGAATGTTATGATAAAAAAGGATATTTATGAACGGTGTATATCATTACATATGAGATTATGACCCAAGTGTCAAGAATTTATTCAATATTTTACCCTTATGTAACAGGCCAATACTGAAAATAATACTGTACATAAGCTTATATAAGCTGAAGATCTCATAGCGTGAAACTCTGAGTAACAACATGATTCAAGTACTGTTTTAATAGTTCTATATTAGCTCTACAATTGATATATTGAGCACTATTTTAACAGTGAAAATATTTCATTATTGTAATCTTATATCATATTGCCTAGAAATATTAAAACAGAACCTAAAAAAATCTGTTGTTTCTCGACTCAAAGAGTTTCATGCTATGTGATCTTCAGACAACTGACCTATAAGGTTTCAGTCTGCGTCTCTACTGAAGTTAGACAAGTAGAACTTATTCTCATGTCTACAATTCAAGACCAGTTCGTAATGTTTATTAAAAGCAGTCTTAGCCTACACAGTATTTCAAATAGTCATCTATCATTCATGGCCAAATTTACTAATGATGCAAGTAGTACAATGGGGTCATTATCCTTAACTGATAAATGATTGGAAAAAAAGAGAATTACTGTATCATTTGTCAAACAGGAAATGTCTCAATGTTGTATTATGTCAATGCAACAAAAATCTCTGTTATAAAACAAAATGATGGAAAATCTGAATTTGGTTGTGATCTAAGCTAGAGTCTACAATTGTACCAAAGAAAGGGTTCTCTATACCACCAAGTGGTTGTTGTATTAAAGAGTTTCTGTGTGTTTTATTATATCACAAGACAAGTGTAAAAAATGAACACAATTTCATAATAAAATCTTTATTTTATAAAATCGTCTCTTATTTGTTGAGTCTAAATTTCCCTGATTGCACACTGCATGACACAGCTTGTCTTCATCAGCCCAGTATTGGACACAGAATAGCAGGACATAATACTCCAATTAATTCATTTATTTGCTTTGTCTATATAGAGAATAATGAATTGGATTGCTTTAGTGGAATCAAATTCATAATTTTTTTCAAAACCCTTGGAATGAAAAATTATTTGAGATTGGTAATTCTACTGGGAAATTTAAAATAGTGGTCAGAATAAGGCAACATATTAACTACCCCCTTAGAGCATAGCACATCCCACATCCATAGCACATCCCACATACATGAGAACTGCATTGAACCATACGAGATAGGCTGACTTACTAACTTAATTCATTTTTGCAGGCATCCTTTACACAAAAGCTATATCAAATTCTTATACAGCAAAGAATAAAACTGAAGTTGTTGCGACTTTGTAGTCCCAAGAATGTCAAAATAATGATTTAATTGTAGTCTTAAGTATAATACGAGTAAGGTCCCTTTATGGATCTTTAACGTTGAAGACTTAAAAGGTACAATACAAACTGACCAATCAAATCATTCCATTTAGCATCATCACATCAACAACAAACATTTTTTCATGAGTTCTTCCAAAAATCCACCGAAATTGCCCTAAAGCCACCACTATTTGGAAAGATATTTGCAGATTGTGATAGGATATTTGTTGAGGTTTGTAATGCATATCATTTTTACCTTTTTTTATTTGCAAAATTTTGTATAAACTGGTCTCAAAGTGTCGCAAAAAATTTGTTGTCATTTTCGGTCGTGTAGCAACTTGAATTTTTGATTAGCGAACTGTCATTGCCATCTGTCAATTTTCTCTTCGATTCTATTTTTGATCGCTTTAATGAACTTGCGTGTAATTAATAGGTGTACCTGTGCTTCTAATTTTAGATTGCTTATTGAAATATTCGGAAATTTTGTCAAGTCCATTGGAATTTGAACTCGTTTGGACTTGCCATTGTTTTCCCGCTTTTCAAATACTTCAAATCGATTTAAACTTAAAATCTAAAATGAAAAATTAATTTGTAGTTTTATATGTCAAAAGCCCTTGTATACTCACCGCAGTTTTTAGCTGAGTGCACCTTTAGCTAGGAGAAAGCTTTAAGCTTAATACAAGAAGATCAGTAAGAATCAGTAAAAATGATTTGACATTGATGTTCTATCTTATGACCAATATGATGATTGATAGGCGTGGTTTAAGTTCAGTGCTAGGCCTACACCTATGCTATACTAATAAAAGTGATAACTTTTGAAAGGTATAAGGAACTTTTCTTTGACCAAAACAGACTTAAGTTATGAATTAATAAGCCTAATGTTAAACCATACAACATATACGTTTTTGTCGTTTTTAGAAAGAGAATGACGGTGGAAAAGAAGCTAAGACCAACATCACCAGTTCATGTACATGTTGATGATGATATACCAGTACATGTTCATGTGAAGAAAACTAAAACTAAGAAATCAAAACTTGTTCCTAACGTAAGTAACCCCTAAAACACGATGATGAAAATATCTCTAAAAGTGAAAGTAGAAGTAGAGATTTTGTTTTTTTTATCTTTGTCCATGATCAAGATTTGCTGTAATTGATAGAATTAATTGGTAGACTAGAAATTTTGATAAGATAAGATATTGCTATGTTTACAAAGGCTTGATTCATGTATTAAGCCATTATTAAGGATGGGCTGTAGCACTGTCAGTAAGAGCATTGGAATCTTTATATATGACATCACTTGCTTGGTTAAGCTTATAATGTCAAACAATTGGTGTTCGTGGGTCTTAATTTCTGTCAGTGGTGATCTAAGTCACCTGGTCATCTAAGTATTAATGGGTAGGAATAATCTAGAAAATTTCAATGCCAAGGACCAGCTGGAAGACAGGATCTTCATAAATCCTTGTAAAACATTTTTTGTCTTTCTGTCAAATCATGAACTTATTACTGTTTTCAGAAGAAAAGATCGTCCAGTGCTCTAGGGGTTAAGGGATCATCCAGTAACAGTTTGAGACCTAAATCTTCGGTATCAAGAGCTAGGAGTCGAAGTCCTGGTGGTGGTCCATGGGTTCCTCCCCCAGGTAAAACTACCCGGGGATCAAAATTAGCATGGCAGGTAAGAAAAAATCATCATATTAAGTTGTACTTAAACTTTTAGTACTTGCTGCAATTGACTACTAATTTCAATTTAGTAAGCTTACACCTAACTAAATATAATCCAGTCAATACGACATCATGATGTCACTGTCTATTATCAAGTGAAGTCAGTGTCCTTGGTTACTCATCAACATCTTGTTGTCCATAGTTACTTCCGTCAATATTCAGGGGTGAGACTAAACACCTTAATGTGGACTATTTGTAGATGTGCCTAAAAAACCTAATATTTACAAATTATTCCAGTTGAAGTCAAGAGAGAATCTTTGATTCTTGAGAAAATGTTGTTCAGACTTTGAATGGGCAAATTAACCTTGTCCCCATGTGTACTATTGAGATTAAAGATATTTGACACTTCGTAATCATTGAACAACTTCTTTCATGTTTCTGAAACAAGATCCTCATTAGCTAGAACAGGACATGAGATTTTCGTACATTATCCTAACAATCATATCCCTGTAGGGTCCACCACATCGTATAGATATCCCATCAACTGGATGTGATGGTCCTGTTGATGACCTCTCTACAGATGAAGAAGATAAGATACACGGCACCGTCAGAACTTATGAGAAGAAAATTGATAGTTTAATGTCCGAAGTGGGTACCTTGAAAAATGAAGTAAGTACTGCACAAGTTAAAGTCTTATTTACAGATTAACTTCTCTCCAGTTAAATGTCATCAAAAATCTGCTGACAGAGATAGTTTATCAAGATATCCCAGCATATAGTAGTGATAGGTCCTGGAGAAATTACTACTCCATTGCTGGCCTTACACGTCATTAAAGGGACATACATTTGAAAAAGTGTCTCATCATGTGTATTGTTGCTCACAAATTTTTCACTTTGTCTTGATGAAAAAGGGGAGCCGCGGTGGCTCAGTGAGTAAGGCGCATGCTCGTTAACCTGAAGGTTAGGGGGTCAATCCCAGCATATGATTTTTCAACCCTGTTTCCCTGTCAGTGATGCAGGTAAGAGGGACTGATAGAAAAAGGGTCTAGTCGTTCGGATTGGACAATAAACCGAGGCCCTGTGTGCTACAGGCTGTACACGTTACAGATTCCTCGACAGTTAGAAATCGAAAAAGAGCATGCTAATGCCGCTGTCCTGACTTTTGTCCTGTAATAATTTTCATCATTCCGCTGTCATGGAATCACATGTCTTCATAAACATAAAAGGACATTTCTGCATTCTAACTGGTCTCTATATAACTCTTTAGTCAAGTATGGAAGTTAATGTCGGTACTTCATCACCGCACACTGTCAGTATACCATCAAAAACTAGTATTACCAAAACCTGCTCAAAGTCTTCTTCCCAATCAAATGGTACCAGACCACCTAAATTACCTAACAGAACCAGCACTCATGCTGCTCTCAAAGAGGATATAGAAATTTTGGTATAAATTTGTTTTGGCAATGTTTGAATTGATGTTTTTTGCATGATTTTCCAGAGCAGTACTTGTTTTTGATATTTACTTCAAATTTGGTTTGAATGCCAGTACCCTTGCATTTCTTTGTTAGCAGTTCAGAAGTTTGTTTTGTTACTATTTACAGTTGTAGTTCTTGTGGTTTGATTTTTAAAAATGTTTTGCGTTTGTACTTCGGTCCTTGTAGGAGGCAATGAGAATAATTTTGCATACACCAGTATACCTCAATAGTTGCAAATTAAACAAAAAAGCCAGATGCTATACGATTTCCCCAATTGCAAACTGCATAGCATTGCAAGCCAAGCTGGTGCTTAAATATAAGTTACAAAATTATTTCGTTTCAGACGCCCCCAGTTAGCGTGTTATAGAAAAAATTTAAAATTTAAGTTAATCCCTCTATCTCTCTTTTCCTAGGTTGACTTACAGAAAGCTCTCCATGAAATAGAGAAGAGAGATGATCTCCTAGACACCTCCCAACGTGTTATACAACAACAAGATGATGAGATCCATAATTATCAGGAAGAGTTGAACTCTACAGAGAAAGAAAATAGAATTCTTAGACAGAATGTTGATATTTTAAAAGGAGATATTATGCCTGCTAAGTAAGTTATAATGAATCTAGTTTCTGTAGGAGCCAAAAATGTTGAAAAATCTGTTACAGGGCCACCCCAGTTTGAACAAAAAATCACTTAGTTGGCAAAACTTAGACACCATAATATTGAGTGATAATTTCATGGTTCCACCTTACATTAAATCAAGCTTGAAATTTCTATCTGTTTCAATTTTCAGAGAGGCTGAATTATTTTGTTGTGATCAGGAACAGCTGATGAAGAAGCTAATAGAGGTAGAGATGGATGGACAAGCTGTAGCAGAACAGATCCGAGAACTTCGTGACGTTCTGCGTAGATTGAAAGAAGGGTCCTCGGAGAAGCTTACTAAACAGAAGGACTTGTTATTGGAGAAGCTGTCCGATTTCGATACCACTAATCGAATCCTCCGTCGCTTACTTCGTGATCATCATAGTCAAGAAGCTGCTGCTTTAAGATTGAATGAGCAGCGAGAATTGTTGATGCAGAAGGTGTCTGATGTGGACAGAGCTAATGAGGTATGGTTATGAGTTATTGCCCTTGTTCTTGAAAATATCCTAAATTTTTAGCTCATATACACTCGAAAAGGCACAATTTCTGTAAGAATTTGACAAAACATGGTAATAATATTCATTAGCCTTTTAGCAAGGTATGACGGAAGGTTGAATATTTCACACTGGTGATTATTACTGTACTGCTAAATATTTTTATTTAAAATCAAAGCTGCCAGTGGGCGTATATTACCTTGCCTTTATTTTTAATGTTATATTTTTCAGAGATTGAAATGTGAATTAAGAGATAGAGAAATAATGACAGTAGAATTACAGGATCAAGTGGAATCTCAGAAGGTCAGAACCAAATTACATTGTACTCTTCTGCACATGCATTTTCCAATCAATATTATACATAACTGGAAGAGTTCATTCGCAAAATGAGGTGTTTTTCTTGCCTTGCAGAATTTTTAAGTTTGTTGTAATATATCATTGTTCAAGTATGAAAATTTACGCATTTATTTCTGCTCTGATGCAGTAAATATTCAATATTAGGAATGAAAATTTACAAATTGATTTTCTCAGTGTTAAAAGGGTTAATTTTTGTTTATTTCTAACTTTGTTTATTTATTTGTTTGTTTACAGACTGAGATATCAGCTCTCAGCAATCTTCAGGGTACACTAGAATCTAATAGAGCTCATCTACAGAAACAACTTCGATCTAAAGATTCTGATTGTAGCAGACTGGCTGTACAGATTCGCGTAAGTAGTGGTCTTTAATATTATTAGGTATGTGACCTCCCTAAAAGAATGTTCTGTTGGTGAACCCAGTTGAAGAGTGATATCAGGTGTTCTAGTAGAATGAACATTTTGCTACAGAGCATGCACAAAAAAGATAACAAAAATGACTACATAATTTATATTTTATAAAGCCTGTCCTAAGGTAAAAATGGTTGGAAGTGAAATTTTACATTGAAATTCTTTTCACCATCCTGAATCTTTACTTGCAGACATTAGAAGATACCTTAGCTCAAAACACAATAGAAATGGAACATCTGCAGAAATTGGTTGACACAGCTAAACAAAAAGCTGATAAAGACAAAGAATCATTGAAGAAAGCCACAAGGTTGGTGTATATCATGTTTTCTTACCTCCTGCCAAGTTATTTTTCCTGCTGTGCTTTTTATCTTTAATCTTGTCTCGCCTTTTCTGTATCTGCAAAAAAAAATTTGAATATTAATTTTCCAAAAATTCAGCTTGATTTATTTAACCCTTTAGTTTTGAAATTATGATCCCATATAGATTGTGGACAAAGTCAATCGACTGAGAAAGGGTTAATGGGTGAAATGACTTTTTTGTAATGTAATGACTGCTTAATTTGAAATAAGTTGATTATCAAACCTGATTGATATAGAAAAGATACTATTATTATTGTCTTAGAAAGGTTTTTATATGATTTTGTTGGCCATTATTAGGCTTACTTGCTTTAGTATTTTAGCATAGCATAAAGAAGTTGCATAAATCTGACTAAATACGAACCCAGTTGACAAACCAAATTGCAGAGTGATATCAGGTGTTCTAGAAGACTGAGCTTGCCTTATCATAGTGCTTATTATAAGGGAGCTCAATTTCAATCGTTTTTTGATGTTTTGGACCTGAGCATATGAGCTTAAAGCTTATAAGTTGAGAATGAGCTTAGCCCACAAACAGAGTCAAAACTTTTCAGAGCTTAAAACAAAGGTTAAGGAATGTCTTATATGAAAAAAAAAATCACCAAGCATGGTTTTATAATCTATTTAGAGCCCAGAAACAAAGAGCTGAAAGGAGTGAAGATGCTTTAGATCAATTAAATGCTCAATTAACTGAAGCTGAAACACAGGCGGATGAATACAAATCTATGCTGGATCAAGCTCAGAGTCGTATCGAAAAATTACATAAGGAACGTCATCAAGCTCAAAGTGAAAATAGTTCCCTCAAAATGTGAGTTCACATAAAAATAAATGACTCCCTTAAAGATATTTTGAGCTCAAAATTTCCAATTTTAGTAGCCTAGATTTTTTTAAGAAATTCTCATGCTTAAAGGGATCCAGCTGTATTTTGATGCTTTTGGTTATCTGTTTAAAATAAAATTGATGTCTACAGCAATTAAAGCTAATAAAAAATAAACAACTGTATACTTTGAAGTTGAATCCCTTCTGTAGTTTACCTTTTAATCTTTCTGGCATAACTTTTTTTTCCACTTTCTTCTGTATTGATAAGATAGATTAGAATAGCTCAGAAGTCAAAATGCTTTTGAAACTTTCAGCTCAAAATCTTTAAGGGGAGTTACTTCCAAAACTTTTAGGCTAAAAATATTATATGTTATTTCTATAAATGATTTAAACCTGAAATCCCTAATTTTTTGCCCTCCTCCCCAGCCACATTTTACTTTCATATTGCTTATAGTGCGGCTTTGATATATACTTTTATTGTACCCTATTATTTGGTAACACATGGATTTGATTTAAGACTCTTGTTGAATTTTCAAATTATGTGAGGGCAATAAACAGAAGGATGTAAAACTCCATTCCGTTGTTGTTTGTTTTCAGACGTATCAAGGATCTGGAGAATATTGTAGACAAAGTGGAAGAAAATACAAGATCTCAATCTGATGGACTAAAAGATCGTCTGCATGAAAAATCATCAGAACTCTCTACATTGAAGTCAGAAAATGACCGCCTTAAGGTATTTCTTGGCACATTGCAGATGCAAACTTAGTTAATCAAAATTGGTACTTTTGAAGAAAAATCACACCCCAGTTTTCAAATACTATAGTTTGATTGGTCTGTTTAAACATTACAGCCAATCATTTCACTGTATTTGAATTCTGGAATAATGGAATATCCAAACTGACTGTAGCCTTATGTTGTAAATTAAATGTTGTCAAGCACAAATTGAACCTAACTTTTTTGTTGTCACCTGCATGAATGTTGTTATCACCCAAGTTTTTATGTTTTTCACATTTTTTTTTTCACCTTTTAAGCTTTTTGGAAAGGGAGCTTTTTGGGGATGAGGGGTTTAAAAAGATGCTTCAAAAATATTTACAAATACTTAAACCAAAGTTAATTTCTGAATACATTTTGAATGAATAGAGCTCATCTCATGCTGATGTGTTTTGGGTAGAAAACTCTTATCAGGACAGCCAGTTAACTATTTAGATTGGCAATTGAGAAAATTTAACTGACATGCGTTTTGGATAAAATTTCAACATCAAAAAATTTGAGACAAATTCATTCCACATTCATTTAAGGCTAATTTTTGAAGCATCTTCAAAGGGCTAAGGTTTATGGGAGCTTATTTTGCTTGTAGTGTAGACTTGTAATTTTGTTGTAGTCCACGATATCCAGTATTGAACTTAAGTTCACGCAGGCTGAAGACGACGTCATGACATTACGATCAAATCTGAAAAAATATGAACTATTGGTGGAGGAATACAAAGATCAGGTTGGCAATTTACGCCTTCTGTTATAATTACTACGCCAGTTAGATTTGTTTACCTTTGCTATTAAAAAGGGACTATACAAAAAATGAAAGTGAAAGTCCACCAAAATTTAAAGGGATTGTAAAGACATTGTCCGAATTTTTTATGTGTATCGAGGACACTGATGGCATCTATTTGCACCATTCCAATTTTTAGTCAGACGTCTGTGGTTCCTGCAATTCCAATAAAACTAAGCTGCTAATTATATCTACAAACATAGAGATTTCATCAAACACTTAGTTAAAGTGGAATTGCAAGAACAACAGACGTCTTACTGAAAATTCTAATAGTGCAAATTGATACTATCAGTGTCCCTAATACACATAAAAAAATTAACAATTTACAATCCCTTTAAAGTTTGGAAAACTTCTTTAAAATCCCTTTAAAACCGTAATCAGTAAATTTATAGATGCACTGCACTAATACACATAAATATTGCACCATTTTGTTTTATTAATTCAATTATAATAATTTTCATAGTTTAGTGACATAATGAGTGGTACTTGTTACCTAGCAACAGTGGGGCGCTTAATTTTGGTGGGTATCATGGGTAATTTTAGCTTGCAGAAGATAAGCATCGTGCTATTAACTTACATGAAAGTAGGGTTTCTTATTCTTACTGAATCATTCTTATCTACGTCAGCCATTCTCCCTACGTCTGACAATAACCTTGTATGCAACTGGCAGATAAATTGGACTACTTTCATCTGACTAGTCCCTGACACCCAGACGTCTCTGTCTACGAGGATAGTCTTCTTAACATCTGAAGAACTATGCGGAAGTAACTTCCGTCTAACAATTCAAGAAAATTTTCTTCCAGTTACATAAGATGTTATTGTCAGATAATGGCTGCCGTGGATACGAATGTTACTGAATGAGTTTGCATTCCTGTTGCACCATTACTTTGTAAGCCCCATGTTTTTGTCAGAGATTTTTTTTTAGTCAGACTTGAATTTTATATGAACAACACATACCTCTAATTTTTTAGCACGTTCTTGGATAGTCTTGAAGCCTTGTTATAAAATCTCTGCTTTGAAGTTGCATTATAATGAATTCCAAACTGTCTTGTGATTTCTAATTTCAAACACTGTTGCTAATTGCCATGTCTCTTGAAATATGTTTTAGAATTCATACTAATACAGCTATCAATATCACAAATTTCTGTACCTCTTAATTCAATTCTCAGCATGAGATCTTGTCTTTTTTTCAAAATTTTAAACTACTTTTTAATATTCAATGCATTTTCTGAAAAAAAAAACCCACTATTTCTATGACTGTAGAAAATTGCTTGCATATCAAAAATGTGTTTTTTGACAAGTTGGCTTCAGACTAAGATTTTAAATGTCCAAAATTATGTTTTTTACTTTTTCGAAGCTCTTAATTTGATTTAGCTTTTAAAACTCTTTTTTTAATTTTTGTCATTTCAACAATTTTATGATTTTCATTTCATCAGGTTTTGATTTTCGATACATTATTTCCAGATGCACAAATCTCGTCGTGAAGCTGATGATTCTATTATTAAACTAGAAGAACAGAAATTAGAAACAGGAAAATTACAGAAAGACGGGCAGGAAGAACTAGAAAAGGTAACATTTTTATAAATTAGACGGTTGTTTGCTTACCTGAAGGTCCAGAGTTTAATCCCAGCATAGGTCCAGATAGTACCTTTGGATTCTTCAAGCTGGTCTCTCACTGTCAGTGATGCAGGTCAGAAGTACTGACATGAAAAAAATAATACACTAATGCCACAATCCTTGCAAAATATCTCACTTCATGAGAAGAAAGATAAGTTGGATGTAAAACTCCAATCATTTCAACTCCACATAGCTAATAATGTTAACTTAACTTGGTATAATATTCATATTGTCTTGTCTGATCTTTAGTCTGACTCTGAAACAGAATCTGTAAGCATTTCTTCCTTCTGTTACACAATAATACACAATATACTTTTCTGTTAACATACACAATATAATTTTCTGTTAATATACACAATATTAGTTGATATACCACTAGGAAGAATACTGATATTGCATTGTTTCATTGTATATTCTCACCCAAAAAACATGAAATAAGCATGTCAGACTAGAAAATTTTTACCTGCATAAATAACTCAAATTTTATCACATTATTTGTTTCAATGTTTTAATTGGGCACAGTAAGTTAGATGCATGCTCTTGACTAGTTGTAACCAAAGGTGTCTAGGAATTATAGCCTAACAGTTGAGAAAAAAACTTCTGCCAGGCCTAAAGAAAGAAAGAGCAATGTTTTATAAGAATAACAACTTAGATTCACAGTTAAGGATCTTTTCAACCAGCTAGTCCTTGACCAAACCTCTTGGCATTGATCTTTCCCGGATTATACGTACCCATTTACAGTTGGGTCGACTGGAATTATGAGTGAAAATGATTTATTCAAGGTCATCGGACTATCACACACCGATCAAGAATTGAACCCACCCACTATATCAAAATAGTTATGTACTAGAAATAAAATATTTAATAAATTTACCTGATGTTGACATTATTTTCTGGTGTGAAAAGCCCCTCTCCCTCTAATCTCCTTTCTCCCATCTTGCTTTCTGTCTGTGGATATCAGGTAAGTTTCTGTTAAAATCCTAGCATAGTTAAGGGGTGTATTCATTTGAATATTTGCTTTACCAGATTATAAAGCTCAATTTCAGTTATCTGTAACACTTCTCAAAATGAAAATCGAATTTTCAGTTGTCCTACAATTTAAGAAGTAAAAACTGTGGAATTTTAGACTATCATTACATCCTGCTTACATTCCAATGCGATGTTATTGCTGATATTGTACTGTAATCTAGGAATATTATTCGTGAATTGTAGTGGAACAGTACATCAGATTTTGATTTTAAAAAAGGTTACAGATAGATTAAAGTGGCAATTAAGCATGTAAAGCAAGTATTTAGAGGACATCTATGCCATTCTAATACATTCATGAAAATCTGTTGAATTCTATATTCGCTGTATTATCTCCCTAGGTTAAAGCAAGATTACATCAACGTCTAAAAGAGTTAGATCCCCTGCCTGAGTTGTTACGATCAACAGAAGCCAAGCTACAAGAAGCTAATGAACGTTTGTTGATGTACGAAATTAAAAACACAGAAAATACTAAAATTATCACTGAACTCTCTTCTAAGGTTTGTTCTTTTGTTTTCTAAGTGCTAAGTGCTAACTACACTTTTATTGTTATTTTCAACAGACCAGGCCATTTCAGAATCTAAGAAAAGTAGGATGTAGATCTCCATATATTTGGCTTATTGCTATGTTCAGTAAAACATATTTTTGAAGACGTTACATGTTATAGGAAATAGTTTGCTATAAATGCACTGGCCCAGTATGTAAAATTCCTTCCATATCTTTCATTTGTTCTATTTTTAGGTAGAACATACTAACGGCCATCAGAGTAATATCAAATCTAAACTACATGAAACAGAAGATGAAAATAGAACACTACATAGCAGATTGGATACATTAGAGAGGTAGGTCATAGGAGTTGGAACCAGACATTAGGATGACCATCGCAAGCACTGGCCTTGGCATCAGAATGTCTCTTACCTAGAAGAGGATTGAATTCAAACCAATGACGCCTAATCTCCTAGCAGACGACAATCCAACTAGCTAACGACTGAGCTATACCACTTCCACATTGGTCACTGTGGCTCAGTGAGTGAGATGCTTGCTCTTCAACATGAATGTCCAGGGTTTCATCAGGACCTATATCAAGATGATATCTTTGGATTTTTTAACTGGGTTTCCCCTTTGTCAGTGATGCAGGTCCGAGTGGCGGACATGGAAAAAGTGTCTTGTTGTTTGGATGTGACAATAAATTGATAGGAGCTGTCTTGGAAAATTGCTTCTCGTTTGGATGGGGCTAAGAATCCTTGTCAAACACCGAAGATGGATGGCTGGCTTTTGACTATTATTGCTTTTCAGGGAAACTTTAGTAATTTATTTCGTATGAAGATAAATAATGTTTTACTTAAACTGGAATTTTATACAGCAAGCTAACTTCATTTTGAGATGAACAGTTTTCATTTTTTTTTTTGTATCTTCAAGGAAATTCCGAGATTCTGAAGAACAGATAAGAGATCTGATGTCAAATGTGGCAAAGAGAGAAGAAACTATACATCAAAATCAGGTAGTTTTTTATTCTTAATTTTTGTGCAAGGAGTTTTAGGGTATCTGGAGCAAAAAAAACACATTTGGTCAAATTAAGTGTCATTTTGAAAGCTGAATAGAATTTATCTCCTTTTAATTGGAGTTTAGAGAACTCTGATAGGAAATTAGATGATTGCTCGTTTAGGTGGAGGTCCATGATTCAATCATGGTGTCCAAGCCAAAGTTCAAAAGTTTTTGTACAAGAATGAATGAAAAGGATCTATCCTTTAAATTGTCTATTAAAAAGGTTGCCTCATTGCACAAAGAAGGGCGTTACCAATCTTCATTAACTCAATTATTGGCAGAGAATTAGGATGTAAAACTACATCTCATTTCATTTCTGCTTTGAGTTTAGTTTATTTTGAAAAGTTAATAAATTTTTGATATTGTTATTATAGATGAGACTAGAGGAGAAATCGCGAGAGAATGCCAGTTTAACACGACAGTTAGAAAACGCTCTGGCTGATAACAGACGTCAAACTGAAGAGTTTAAAGATAGATTTAATTCTAAGGTAGATTAATTTGATTCTTCTCAAGCTTATAGTACAGTGAACTCTTTTAAAGAATGTCCCTGGTTTCTGTCTGTCAGGGATGCAGGTTAGAAGGGCTGACATGGAAGCTCCATTTTCTACTGGCTGTCCTCGAATTGAAAAGAATAGTAGACCCATGCCAATAAATTCCCTCATTGCACACTGCATGGCATTAGCCTGTCCTCATTAACCAGGAGTGGTGCTGAAAAATTCGAATCCTCTTGCTTTCTAATACACTTTGTGCTTTTCCTTAGCCGCTAGGCAATAGTGTGCCGTGGGTTCGAATCCTCCTCAAGGTAAGAAAAATTCTATGCCTGTGCCAGTGCTTCCGAGAGTCAGCCCAGTTTATCTAAAGAGAAATATATATGACAAAAATGACTGACCTCAACTATATATTTTCAGGAAAGAACATACCAATCTAGAATAGTTGATCTAGAATCACAACTTAGTCAACTGCGAACTGAGATAGCTAGAATTAAACGAGAAAAAGAAGAGGTAAGAGAATCCATGACCGAATTTTAGGCAGAAAAATAACTTGGCACAAATTTAAATAGTATTTTGTGGAATTTGGACACATAAGCATGAAAGATTGTCCAAAACCAAATCAAAAGCATTTAGATAATACAATTTTAATGTTTAAGATCGAATTGGGGGGGATATGTTTAAATTAAAGAGTTTTTTAACTGATGAATATAGAGTTATTGTCCTTGTTAAAATTAAAGTTCTGACTCCTAATATCAAATTATCTCCCTTTCTCTATTTTCAGAATGAGCGAAAGTTCAATTCAAGATTATATGATTTAAAAGACAGATTAGAACAATGCCACAGTACCAACAGAAGCATGCAAAATTACGTCCATTTTCTCAAGAATTCTTACGCTAATGTTTTTGGTGATACAGCTATTGGACTTCCTCCTACCTCACCTATGGCCCTGTGATCACCGCATCGTGATTAATTGATCACAACATCAATACAGTGATCATGATATTGTGACATAGAGGTCATGATATTGTGATGTAATAATCACGATATTGTGATGTCATTATCACAACTTTGTGACATGGTGCTCACGATATATTGTGACATAGTGATCACGATTTTGTGACATAGTGTTTAGGATTTTGTGATATAGTGATAAGAATAATGTGATCACTCTATAACTGTAACTTGACTGGATCACAATATTGTGAGAACTTGATCACAATATCATAATTATTTTATGTGATCAAGTCCTCACAATTCATCAGAATTTAAGATCTCTGTGCTCACAATATTGTGATCACTCTGCACAAGATCGTGATCACCTTTATCACAATATAATCACTATGATAATAAAATCGTGATCTGATTGCTCACAGAGAATTCCTTCCAAATTTAATATTGTCTCATATTTTTATCATGTACTCATTTTTATGGCAGACATTTTTAAAATGATTTTTAATTTTTATCTAAATTTTATCTCAAATTTTAGCAGAAACATTATCCAGTCCCTGGCTTAGCCATAGCTTAGTATAACCAGACATAATATTTTCATAAATCTGATTGAATAATGTCTTTTGAAGGTTACATGTTAACCAATCAAATTTTTTGAAATACTGAAGCGTTGTTCTCCAACATGGATATTGGACTAATTTATTTTGGCAGTTCTAATTTTTCGATAATATTTTCGCGTTTAGAATCCATAATGCAATCATCACTGATGAAGTAAGATAGCGTGAGAGATAGGCTTTTTTACATTTATATTAAATTTTTATATGCATCATAAGGTCACAAGATATTCTGCAAGGAATATATACTAATTCAACGGTATAGGAATTTTCTGAATTGTAAAGTTATTTATGCAAATTCGGTATGATTCAAAATGTAAACACGAATTGTGCTCAGATATCTTTGACTGTATGTCTTGGTTGAGGCTTTCGGTACCAAATTATCAGCATTTTAACTTAGGCACTGCGAGCACTCGAGGCTTGATGCAGCCATTGCCCAGGATAATGTATATTTTTATTTATTGTTTTGTTATGTATATATCTATATTTATGTTTAGTCTACAGCCTGTGATATACTAGAATGATATTTGTAGTATTCGTTACTAATTTTAAACTTAAAGATCTGATCAATATTTTTAATTTAACAGACACGATCTAATCTCTCAAACAAAAATCTGGCATTTAGTTAATGTACAAATAAAATAAATACATGTCTGCATGTGTATTCTTTGGCCTGATCAATGATATCTATTTAAGGACATGTCACCTCCAGTGTGTTATAATGAATTGTAGACAAGCCAGATGTCAGATTTTTATTTAGAAAAATGTAAAGGATAGCTATAATGTCGGCTAATCAGCTGGTAAATCAACTGAATCCCATGATTTAAAACTATTTCTTGTAATCATAATCTTTCAAGAAACAATGGTTTGGTACCGATTTATTAATCGTAGGAATCGCTTTCAGGATACTTATAAAATTTGATTTATTTTTAGTACGAACCAAAGAAATTATTGTGTGCAACATAGTTTTAGACCCAATTTTTAGTTAGATTCAGTGCTAATATTTTATTTTATAGTCTCATTTCAAAATTTACTTTTAATTTATACCAATTTCATAAAAGCTTAATCAAGAGGGTCTTAATACATTCACCTGATTGGATGGTTCTCATTCAGTTTTATTACCCAATCAAATGGCTTTATTTTGCAGCTTAGGAGTTTATCAACCAAATCAGATGACTTCATTATGCAGCATGGAATTCCATCTAAGTTTTAGAGAAAATGGCTGCAAGAAACAAGCCTTAGCTTTGAAACAAACCTGAACATGGCCAAGTGTTTTCATAAAAAAGAAACTTTGCTGCTTAAAAGGAAAAATTCTATTTAGTTTAGTGAGTTTAAAGCTGGCTTGCACTTAAACTGAAATTTATATTTTTAATTGTATATATGTACTGTATCACTATTCACAATAAAATATAGACTAAAAAAGTGTCTTTTTTAAATGCATTGTTCCACACAGATACTTAAAGGGATTGATATGAAATTTTATAAACTTTTTATGTGTACGAAGGACACCACTCAAATTCAACTAAAATTAAGCATCAAGCGTTACCTTCTTTTAATATTATGTAAAAAGTGACGTCATAAAATGCTTACCTTGTTTAAGTGGAATTACAAGAACCACAGATGCCTGATTGAAAAGTACAGAGCTAACAAAAGAAAAATTCAAATATATTTAGAGATTTATTCCAAACATAACAATAAATTAATATCTGACCCTAAAAATACAGAATAGCTCAGACAGTGGTAAATACAGCCAATCAGAGCACTGGACAGAAAGCCTGTAAACAAATAAGCTGTGTTTATTGTCCTTAGATAGGGCTCTGATTGGCTGTATTCCTTAGTTTACAATCCAATAGCTGCATTCACGAATTTGTTCGATACTAGAAAAGTGCCTAATGGTGTCAAGGTATTAGATGTCGTAATGACATAGTGATGATGCCATCAGCAAGCTCCATGTATCGTTAATCTTTTCTATTTATATTTCATTATTATTGAACCCTTACTATCCTTGTACAAAATAAATTTGAAAAAAAGAAAATTAACCCTGTTTCTTTCAGTGCAATTACATATTAACATGCAAACAAATCTTAACCCTGTTTATCATACATTAATATTACAGAAATGCAAAATTTGGCAATTTGGGGGTTAATAAAATAGCCTATGACAAGCAAACTACAGTAGTATATTTTAAGATACTATCATATGCACAACTGAACTCTTTGAGCCATAAACCAAACTACCAATACTTTTCCGGGATTGGTTTGAATATGTAGAGTTTTCAGCAAATCAAAAACATGAGATCTAAATTAAATACAAAACCCTTATCAAAATACCTTATTAGAATTATTACCATAAAGCAAATTAAAATATAAGGAATAGGTTGCTCTCGCACTATTCACTAAAGTTTCTTAATTGTGAGACATCCATGATTCTGGCCACAAAGGTGCAGTCCAAGGAACTTAAAATCTAATTGCACTTTTCACAGGAAGCAAGGATTTAAAAGGTGTCTAAAAATGCAAGTTTAAAAATATCACTGAAAGGTTGTGTCACTAGAAAAAGCTCCCGCCAATCTAAAGTCATCGACTAGCACACAGTACATCTTCTGAGGCAAGACTCTCGAGTACGGAGCCGGTCGGGGAACCATTGCACGTAAAATATACTCTCTAGCTGAAGGAGGAGGAAAATCTGGCACAGAGCTGGTCGGTTTTTGAAGATCCTCAAGATTAATGTCCCCTTCCTCATCGTCCAGGAGCATGTGTGACGCTCGCTGTGCAGCAGTGAAGAGTTTATGAATGATGGATCCTGCAGGTCCACATGGACCACCTCGAACCATTACTTCCGGCTGTTTCAACAGACTGTTCACAAAAGTTTCAAGTTCCTCGTCAGCAGTCGGCATATCCAGTAAATCAATGGTGAACTTAGTCTTTAACGACTTAGCCCTTGCGATCACAGTTTCCGAGAGCTCAATCAGTCGGACCAAATCCTCATACTTTCTGGTGTCCAACACAGGACTTCTGGTCACTTTTGCAGCTTTGTTAATCACTTGATCCAGAAGAGTCTTTAGATTTTCAGTATCTTGATCCTCATTTTCAATCACTTTCAAAATGGCCGCATGAACTAACATCGGCATAAGATGCAGAACAACTTGGCCTGGCTTCATTGCTGCTAGAAAATGAAGAACCTTTTCTGCTTCTTTAGTGTCGTCAAATAACCGACGCTGTCTGCGAGCAGGAATTGGTTTGGCGCCTTGCCAGACTTCTACCCACATGTTACCAGGAATCTTCATCCTTGAACTCAATTGACCTTTGATGACCTTTTCACCATTTTCATTCTCTACTTCTTCAGTGATGTAATCTCTGGGAGAGTACCATCGCACAAAATCATCCAAGGTGCAGTTAGGATTGGCTGCTTTGAAGGATTCCATATCTGACAAAAGACAGGCACTCTGCATTCTGGCTCTAAGTTGGGTACCTTCAGCTGAGGATCCAAGCTTGGCCAAGACTTCAGCATGTTCTTCAAGCATGTCTTCGGTCATTGGAGAAGGTTCTTGAGTAATTGGAATATACATCTGTTCTCTGGAATTCAGGAGTTTCATGTCTTTGATGGGGGCCAGACGACCCTCTGGTTTGTGGGAATGAGGAGTGGTGTCAGAGAAAGCTTCTGAAGCAGAAGAATCCTGGTTCCCTTCATCCACTTCATCTTCCTTCTCAGCACACTCAAAAAACTCTTCGTCACTGGAGCTTCCACCACTCTCAACTCTTTTACGATCTGAAATGAAATCATGGAAAAATAAGAAAATAAAAACAAAGATCTCCAGCAGCAAAGGTCAAGTATTCAGACATGAATATTTCCAGTTAATACCGCTTTTCATAACAGGTAGGTTCTAAATCAATCAGAACCTTTGAACCCTGAAATTGTGAGATCGTTGTCTTAAATCTTAACTCAAAATAAATTATTCTTCTACATACACAGTTGGTCACACCCCTGCCACCCTAGCCCAACACCATAAGGGGGTGAAAATACCAGAGGTTGAACCCTGGCTCTAGATTCTGATCTCCCAAGAGATAGCTACTCGTTTGGTTTGGGAAAATTAATAAAAATATTCAACTTACTCTCGGAGTCACCAGAGCCAGAAGATAAAGCCTGTGGACTGGTGGACCGTGGTCTTCTTTGATAGGTAGGAGATTGTGGTCTAGAGCCTTTAATGCTGTCAGTATCATCACCAGGAAGATGGTTATGCTCTAAATCTTTCCCATAACCATACCCAAGACTCTCTCGCTTGATTTTCCTTTCAATACAGCAGTTCAACATTTGAAGCTTTTGATGAAGAATGCTAGACTTCATATTGGGTTGCCCATGTTCCACACCAGTGATGTAGTAGTTGTTTTCCCATCTGTATCTCATCTCCAGGACGAACTCCTGCCATAGATGAGCCACTGCCCTCAATCCTCCTTGATTGTGGTTCACTAAACAGAAACAAATAGCAAGTCGATGACTCAAACCATCAACTGGGGAGGATTTTAGCTGCTTTCCAAGATCCTCAATCAACTTTAAACTTCTTGTACTCTTCTCGGCAGACTCTCTGTCCTTCCCTTCAGATTTTTCATCCGATTTTTTAGCATCAGGGAAAAGGTAGAGAAGAATTTCATTCAAGACCTCTCCAGGAATTGGTGCTTCCTCGGGTTTCATTTTCAATTTGGTTGTAGCTGAAGAAACAACATGGCCGAGGGTCGGGATGTTGTAGCCCACGGCTGGCTCTGTGAGGCGCTGTAAAGCCTGACTAATGTCAGTTTGGTCTTTATCAGAATCATCCAAAGCATTTCCCAAAAGTTCATCAGTTGTTTCTGTATGTTGACTCAGTTTCAAAAATTCTCTGAGATATTCACCCAAAAGACATTGAGCATCTTCTGTCATTGTCAGCTTTACCGACCACTGTGGTGCTTGTAGAGGATCCAAATCAGAATAAACATTGTTTTCCACTATCATATCCTCTGATAAACTTGGCCACGTACACGATAAATTCAATTCACTGATGGGATCCACACACGCCCCAAAAGGCAGGTTTCCAAAATTTGTACAACCAACATCACATTCAGATATGGTAGAAAAATCGGGCGGTTCTTGAGGCCAGGGACAATGGATCCATTCTTGTAAAATGTATGTAAATCGAACAGAAACTGACACTGGAGGCATGGAGATATAGACACAGCCAAGTTTAGATTTAAAAACGTCTAAAAGTCCTGCTAAATGATTATATTGGGGAGGCGTTTTCTTTAAGTGAATCATCTCGAACTCCACACTTGCTCCGGGTACTATAGCAGTACCTGAGTACAGCTTCCGCCATCTTTGCTGAATTTGTACATAAACTGGTATGGTGCAGCCAGTGTTATTCAACGCCACTGAAGCAGAACTCAAGAGTAATTTTGACCTGCTTTCACTGTCAATGGCATCAGTGTTGGAAGCTGGGGTGATGATTAAAAATTCTTGGAGACCATACCATCGAGATAAACAATGTGCACGGAATGGAAAATCATTTTCCATGTTCATCAGATCTGAGAAAACGGTAGGTGTTCCTTCTCCTTCATCTTCTTGTTCATTTTCATCTTCTTTCACTTCCTTGGCATTTTTAGTTGTGGCATTATGAGACTTCAACACCATGTATGTCACTTTGAATTTAAAATCAGCAAATTGCAATTCATCACATTTTTCATCCCAATTACAGGATGCAAAATCACCCTTTTTAACTGGAGGGAGGTACCCTCTGTTGACCAATTTCCATTCATGAAGAATTTCCTCAAATCTGGCTATGAACCGTTCCCAATCAGAAGCTGTTGTGAAATCGGTTATTTCGAACACTTCACTTTCGTCTTCAGGCACCATTTTCACGTGGAAGTTTGCGAAACTTGTGTGTTTTGAGGGCAGGGGAACATTCCCGAGTTGTTGAAAATCAAATCTAATATAGGTTAATTAATCACAATGGAGGCTAATTTGTAACAAATCAATAAACTCAATTAATATTTGACACCTTGACAGCTGGCAACCATTTTGTCAGGTGCAGATAACCCTTCATTGACATTATCGCTTAGGAGATATGTTTTTTAAGAATGTACGTTTATGAAAGATATCTAAAAAAAATATACTAATTCCAATGTCAACCATTTCGGTTTTATTGATTTGGAAACTTGAAATTCCAAATTTTTCACAATATTATTATTGATGTATGCAGCCTTCATATTATAAAAACAACTTCCGGTGAAAATAAATAGTGGCATTGTACAAAGTAAAGAATTGATTAATGAATTTCAATATTTTGACAGAAAACAATTTTTTAATTGAATCTAAAAACTTTAACAGAAATAGACATTAGAGCCGTGAAAATGTCAAAATTTCCAAACCTTACTAGCCTCTTACTGTTCAAGACTAAGTCCCCGTGTCCACTGAAAGCAAAGCTCGAATTATGGCATCTTTTGCCTTTCATTAGATTGCAAAATAACTGAATGAACTGAGTTGATGTTATCACAGCCCTTTTCTGATTCCTTGACTTCCCCCTTCTTTTTGAACACCTCTCCTTTGAACTCCTCCCCTTAAACACCTCCCACTAGAACCCCTACATGTTCATCCACGCCATGACTAAGGCTGTAACTTTCCGATTCTTGCTCAGGAATTGTATTTTTGAAAGATATTGGCCAGCTTAATTCAGAATAACTAAAATGCTTTTGAATATATCATTTTATTGCATAAAGTGCACGTTCATTTTAAAGTATTAAATTTCCCTCATTGTAGCCTACCCTGCATGGCATTGCCCGTCTTCATTAGCCCACATGGTGCTAAAAAAGCAGGATGTAAAACTCCATTCATTTCATTTCAATTTTGTGTAATTAAATGAAATTTAAATCATCACAAGGAAAACAGCTATGTTGATCGAAGCAGGCAAGCGTAATTTTTCGCCTGATCACGTTGATGTAAATGGTCAGAAATTTTTTAACAAAGGTAGAAGAGACACCCACTGCAAATATTTTAGAGTGTGCGCCACTCGGCAGAATTTATTCCACGTCCATGTAATCAGTGAGGAACCACTTACATCTAATTGAAAATTGGAACGGTGCAAATTGACACAAGGCATTGCCCGTCTGCACATTAGGTGCAGAAAAGTAGGAAGTAAAACTCCACATTCATTTTATTTTATTTATTTTTTAGTGTACCCTATCAAAGAGGAAGGCTAGACATAAAACAGTCATGAATTTTAAATCATGAAGAACATTAGCTGCTTTTAGACAGCCAAGTAATCTGAGTACAGGTCGGCAGAAAAAGTGGGTGAGAAACAGGTTTTAGAGGGCTGTGCTAGTTTCAAGTGGGCTGAGTCCCGCAAGAAGAGGTTTTCTCAGTCCAGACCGAGTAGTGCGTGGCAAAATAACATTGCAGTGTAAACAATTCTCAACACTTCTCAATGTCAAGCTGTTATGAACTTCGTCTTATATATTAACTGCAATTGCCAACTTCCTTGTATCATAGAAGTTCATAATGTACAATAATCCAAACTGATTACAGGTTTTCCATCGAAGACTCTGATTGGCTGTACTCTCTAGTCTACAATCCACATCTTAGCAATATGCTCATCCAATGGACACCAATCATGATGAACATCTTAGCAATATGCTCATCCAATGGACACCAATCATGATGAACAACCAATCATGCTGAACATCCATTCATGATGAACATTCAATCATCCAATGGACACCAATCATGATCAACAACCAATCATGATGAACATCCAATGGACACAAATCATGATAAACATTCAATCATGATGAACATCTAATCATGATGAACATCCAATGAACACCACTCATGATGATAAACCAATGATAAAAATCCAATGAACACCAATCATGATGAACATCCAATCATGATGAACATCCTGGATGAACAACAAATCATGTTTATCCTTAAATCCCAGAATTCAGTTCCGAATCAGAAATCACTATAAATCACGAAGTAATACACTGGTGGCAGAGGTCATATCATTATTAGTTTGTCTCAATGCATTTCTCACTCTTTCTGGATTGAAACCCATATCTACTAGCTGTTGTACCTAAAATCAAAACATAATAGAGGAAATAAATAAAGAGCTGCTGAGAATCTCAAAAACTTCTACCAAGAGTGTATGTAACCATGGCAGAGAAAGATGGGAAAATGGAGGGGAATAACTTCGAAGTGGAAAACTTGTGGTTTGATTTTGAAATAAATCTGTTGTGGCCTTGAACTTGGCATATCTTGTGTCTTGACATTCTGGGAATGAAATTTTGCTAAGACAAGGACATCACAATGACATTAAAGATGTTTACCTGCTCCTCAGAGACTGGTTCAGGTTCTTCTTGACCTTGACCTGCTGTAAATAAAACAAAAGTAGAGTAAATAATACATACAAAGATACATAAAACAAAACTAGAGTTGGAGTACATAAAACAAAACTAGATTTCGGGAAGGGAGGGTTTGATTCTCCCAAATGTACAGGCCTAGAGTGGAACAAATACTTTATGAGTTAGAGTACATGAAACTAGAGTACTAAAATGAAACAAGAATTAAGTTAGAGTACATCCAATGTGATAAAGGGGAATAACTCTGTTTACCTGCATTAAATCTTTGTCTCAGATTCTCAGGAAAATTATTGCCAAATATCCCAGGCCTATTGGGCTGATTCTAAAATAAAAAACATAAAGAGATTCAAAATTTATGTAAAACAGTGAAAATTGAATAATGAAGTTTTTTTTTTGTACCTGAACAAGCTAATAAAGACGGGCAACGTCATGCAGTGTACAGTGAGGTAAATTTTTCCATGATAGTGCCATTAGCTTACTTTAATCTGTCGACAGATCTGTTATGTGCACAGCCTGTAGCACATGGGGCCGCGATTTATGGCAAATACAATTTTCAACTTTTGCTCATATTCTAAGTTTTTTTTTCGACTGTATTTTCAAATCTTGTCAGAAAGAAGCATCAAATTAATGTTCCTTCCAAATATACACATGATTCCAGAATACTGACCTGATGTATCAAGGGTTTGAAATGATCTCACTCTCAACCCTCGGTAAATCAGGATGTCTTACCTGCTGAAAGAAAGTAGCTAATCCTCCTCCAACGTTATTATTTGCTAAATGATTAGGATTCTGAAATGTTTGCCACAACATCTGCTGTTCCAGTCTATCTAACTGTTCTTGACGTTGTAGCTCTAAAGTGGCTCCCATTGGAAGACGAATATTTTTGGGTGGTTTGGACCTTAAGAGTCTCCCAATTGTCTTTTCAAACACTTGTCCCACACAATTAGGTATTAATATCACTGATTGAAATTTCAAAAAGTTTATACGCCATAATAATCCTGCAATCTGGAAAAAAAAAATCGTACATGAATACATTCAGTTAGCCATTTTGAAATTCTTCTAGCTTAAAATGCTCACACCTGAGGCAATTTTGTCGGCCGATTTGATATGCGATTATATCAGCGATTAGGCAATATGGCTGCCTCCACTGACAACAAAAGAAAGTCATCAATTTTGATCATAATTATTAATGTTGAACTTCCACATGAAGCCTTCTTTAAAAAGCCTAATCTAATCGCCTAACCACCTCCTCGGATTATTAGGATGATTAGCCTGATGAGTTTAGGTAAACTTTCTCACAAATGTGTCGATTAGCCTAAACTTCCTGGCTCACAATTGCACTAAATAGCTAATCTATCAAATCAAATCGGCCTACAAAAACACCTCAGAATTATGAGTAAATATTTGAATACTTAATGCGTCCAACATTTCCAAAGCCATAACAGGGAATGTATAGAGGTTTTCTAAATTGGATACTGATAACATCAATTAGCATTATCATTGTCTGTAGTTCCTGCAATTCCACCACAAACAATTGTATTATCATACTATTCCTTTAGATATCATAAACCCTTAGTTAAAATGGAATTTCAGGCACCACAGACAACTGATTGAAAATTGGAATGGTGCAAATTAATGCCATCATTGTCCCTGATAAAAATTGGAAAATATCTCAGGAAACAATATACTTACAATAGAACATAATGCTGCCAATCTAGATTCAGCTGTTGTACTTGCTATCTGAAAGACAGTATTGGAAAATGAAATCTGAAATAAAATTTTATGTCATACTTTTCTACATCTTATAAATTAGCTAGCTTTAAACTCTCTGAGAAAATTGAGCTAAATTTTTATCAGCTTTCAACAAATGAGGGATTATAAATGTGCACAACCTGTATCACACGGGGCCTCGGTTTATTGTCCCATTCGAAAGACTAGATGGGGAGTAGGATTGAAAATTGAAAGGGTATTTCTCAACCTATGCCAGGTTAGTGAGAAAGGCACGACGATTAAAACTCTAAGGAAACTTGAATATTTGAACAAAATAACCAAAGTAAAGAAATACCTGTAGACCAAGAATATAGGTAAAAGTTTTACCAGTGACCGGTACACCTAGTATCGTTGTCATAGCAACCCTTGGTATATCAAAATAATATGGTATAAACAATGGAAACACAAAACACAACCTGAAGAAAAATATTAAACAAATTCACATTGAAACTCTGTCAATATTTGTCGAATCATACCCAAATTTGAACTTATCCAAAATCTTGTCGATACAATCCTACCCAACAAATCTTATAAAAATCAGACAAATACTGTTACTTTTATCCAGTCAAAGCATGTCATTCGTAACCAGTTTCCCGAAAACAATGCATTTTGGGATAGCAAAACCCTGTGAGGCTCTCTCCCACAATTCATTGTGTTATAAAGAAAAGGTTTCTACATGACATGATTTGATTGGTTACAATTGAGACAAACAATATCTAAAAGTAAAAAATAAACAGTCCAAACATTAGTTCCATATTTTATTAGCTTTTATTTTCAATGTAACCACTTCAGTTAGAGTCTAACGACAGCCTTTTTGAACAGTAGTCAAATTAACCTTTTAAGCTAACTCGATGACATCCAATCAAATTTCTACAATCTCCAGTGCTGGCATTTTGTGACACAGTGTTTATCAGGGTTAGGTCAAAAGGTTAATGTTGACCAGTCAAGAGGGCTGTCGTTAGACCCTAACTTAAGTGGCTATATAAATTATAAAAGTAATAAAAAAAGGTTGGTCTAATTTTAATTAGACTGGATCCTGGCATTATAAAAAATTTTGAAGAAAATATCCATACTTACGGGCCAGAAGGCAGTGAAGTTATATCAGTTTCTAATAACTGACAAACATATAAACATAATAATTCTAATAATGTTGCTAGGAAACCAGTGCTTAATAAATATGACTGAAAAAAGAAAAAAATTTACATATAAGATATGGTTTCTTAAAGGGATTGTAAAAAGGTTTTCTACATTTTGTATGTGTATTGGAGACACATAGCATCAATTAGCACCATTCAAAATTTCAGTCAGACGTCTGTGGTTCCTGTAATTCCACTAAAACTAAGCGTTTGATGACCTCACTAATTGCAAAATATGTTTGTATAAGGCCCTTTGTGATTAGTGGTGTCATCAAATACCTGGTTTCACTGGAATTGCAGGAACCACAGACATCTGAAATTACTTTTTGGCAAAACTTACTGCATATTTTCTGGAGCCAAACCTCCTCTCAAATATTCTAAAATAGTAGATGAGTAATGAACAAATAAACAAATCTTTAACGTCTAAAAAAACCAACTTGGAAGTGATTAATCTCCATAACTGAAATTAAAATAAACATAAATTACGGTAATTAAAATTAGACCATTTATTTTCGTTTCTTTTATGTAATCATCCCAAGGAAATCTAACAACTTCACTATATAACTTCCATTCTTATTTATGACTCTGCCAGCCAATCAAATTTCTTCCCTTTCCAGGCTACGTCTTTCCACAATATGGCTGCGTATGCCACTACAAATTCAATTTCAAAAGCCATTCTTTAATGGTGCTTTCTCACAAGGCATTTGATTATCTAATTCAACTCTCACAAGGGAGATAAATCATGTATTTAAAACTTACTGACAAGAATAAAGCCTTATTATGTCAAGATATTAGACAAGAGTTAACTAAAAAGTTCATCTATTTGACACCCCTCAATTTCTTATTGAGCTCACCCAAAAATGCATCCGCAGTCATTAGGTTTCTATGAAAATTATGGTTGGAAGAGTTCATTTTTAAAATTAGGGGCATTTTTTTGTAACAAACCTGTTGTTTCTGAAATATTTGGTCTGATGTGTATATGAAATACTGTCTATGGTAGTGAAGAGGAAACGTCAAAGCGAATGATGATAAAATTGATGTGGCTAGAACTCCTTTGGTCACTGGTGCATGGTCTGAAATGAAAGTAAAAACAAATATATTTCTTCACAATAAGCTCATCATCACAATGTCAACCTATTACAATCTTCGTCTTGTACCTTGACTGAGATAGCCCTGATACCTGTATCACAGAAGGTAGCAATGCCAATTTGATGCAAGACTTAAGCTGCGATTACATGTGTACTTTATAGCGGAACTCAAGTTCAGACAAACAAGTTTCAACCAATTCCATTATTACTGGCACCAAATACTATATCTGTAGCCCCTCCAGAGATATTACTTGTCCCCTGTAACTTCCGAACAATTAACTCTGGTTAGGGTTAAGTATGAAGGATGTAGAATGAAGGATGGGTGTGGGGGGAGGGGGGAGGGGGAGGGGGGGTAGGGGAAGAGAGAAAAGAACACCATCTATAGGCCTACTTACAAAACCCCGAAGATCCGTAAACGGAAAACATATTTCCCGAAGATGGCATGAAATTGATAATTGAATAATTCAAACAGTAGTCATAATTTCATCAACTATCAGCCGGATTTTGCAAAAACATGAATATGAAGTCGCACTAATATTCCAACCGGAAGTTGTGTTAATAATATGAAGGCCGCATACACCAATGGAAATAGACATTCGGCGATCTTCGGTTTTTCTGTCAAGTAAAAACATTCGGCAATACTGGACAGTTTCCGTACAGATGTACAACATTGTGACAAAAAAGTGGATAATTGCTTGACAGTTGAAAATGAATAACGAATCTTAAGTTAAGCTTGGGGAACACAGCTAGCCAGGGGAGGAGGGGGAGGGGGGAGGGGGGGACTCAACAAGTCATCGAAAATATGGTTGGGTTGGAGGAACAAATATTTCTTGACCTCTTAGCTACTGGCCACAAGCATAGGCCTATTGATTTGCCTGATATCTAAGAATTTCAAAATTCCTCACAAATTTTACAAGTGTTGATGTCGATAAGCAGGGTACATACCTACTCTTCTAGACACCTGATACCACTTTTCATCATGAAATATTTTATGATTGATATTTGCAATGTGTGTCCTTTTAATTGACATGATCAGGCAAAAATTACATTTGCCTGCTCCATGGTTGTTTCCCTAGCGATGATTTTATTCTTTCATTTTATTTAATTTCAACAAAAAATTGACATCCAGTGTAATTTTATGAATTAATAATTATTTTTGCTCGTTATGTTTCACAGTTCAGACCAAATATTGATTCTGTACTAACAGTACATTTTGAGAAAAAATGTGACATGTTCAGATGCTACCAATGATTTGCCAGTATTTTGTTTTTGATTTGTAGTTTGTCTGTGGTTCCTGCTATTCCACTAAAACTTAGTGTTTGATGTCAGTAATCTCAAAGGGCCTTATGAGATACAAGTATATTTTGCTATTAATGATGTCATCAAACGCTTTATTGGTTCAGTGATTTAGGCACAAACATTAAGCTCATTAGGCACAGTGATTTAGGCATAATTTCAATTAGGCACACTCATATTCAGCACAATGTTATTTAGGCACAGCATTATAGGTGCACAGTGATTTTGGCACACTCTTGTATTCAGCAATTCTAATTCATTAGAAACACCAATTAATTAAATAGTTTGCTTAATTTGAGACTAAAATATAAGGAAGCCCATCTTTAAATATTGTTAAAATAATAATATGTTGTTATGAATTTCATGCTGTATAATCTTAAAGAAAAAACTTATTTCAAATTTAAATTTTACTTTTCCTGTAATCAAACAATTTCATGTATATCAAATAAACAACTTAACTAAACATTCTCATAAAATTTGTCCATTACAATCCTAACAGAAGTTTTAAACCAATCTGGAACTGGATTTCCATTAGCCAAATTTTCAAATATTGACCAATCAGATTGAAGATTTGATAATAGCATCTCATAACTGGACTCTTCGCTATCTAGTCGAGCTCTCTTTAAAGGAGGCTTGGATGGTAGGGTGCTTTTGACAGAAGACTTTTCTCCACAAAATTCCTCATTCCATGTCATAATGGCATCACTGCTAATCTTCCCTTCCTGAAATTTCAAGAAATTCGGCACATTTGCTTCATGAGAAATTGTTTTATTAACAAAATTCACTAATTTCAATTCCAAATTCTTATTTTCTTTCAAACAATTTGGAATAATTTCACAATGAGGTGTCTGCTCAGCAAATTCAGTGATTGTTTCTAGAGTCACATGATTTATTAAAGGATTACGATTGGTTGATACCGTCAACAAAATATCTTGAATAAGTACTGGGATTTGAGGTGATGCAAAGTAAACAGGACTGCATCTTCCAATAAATTTGATAACTTCACTCAAGAGTAGTAGTGATTGAGGACTGGATACTATTTCTTTCAGAAGTGTAAAAATCTCAACCAATATCCGATCTGAAAGATATGTCTGAAGAAATGGTAAAACTTGCATCATCAGAACGAAGAAAGATTCCATTTCTAAACTCTCTTCCCATTCATTAGAAGTTAAAAACGTCCACAAAGTTGACATCCTTTCAGCTAAGTCATTGATCTGATCATTTAACTCCACAACCAAACCAGAGCTGAATAAATTCTTCAGAACACCAAGGGCTTGAGAGACTGTGGATATTGATGCAGCTGTTTTGCTAGACAATTTCAACCATTCTTCAATTTTTGATGTACAAGCCACTACAACATCTCTGAGGATGTTTTTCTGTTGAGGGTGTAAAGCTCCATTATTAATAGGACAAATACACCAGAAGTTAAAATTCACAGGTATTGCAAACATTAGCATCAAATCTACCTGATCATTTGGTTCTAAAAATGAAAATAATCGTTGAATAACAACAATTACAGAGTTATTCTCTGACGCCACAGGTTTATAATCCAAAACATTTTCAAAAATTTCCAAAAGAAATTTGACATGGAATCGACACAAATCAGAACTTCCAAAACGATCCATAAAACACCAACAATCTACAGACATCAGTTGCACAAGTGGATTCTTACTGAATAGATTTTTGAGTAGCGTTGCTTCCAAAATGGTGAAATAGCGTTTTAAAAGGCTCCCAATAAATCCACAAATATGAGTGGCCAGAAATTCATACAGACTGACCAATCGTTGAGCTGAGCCAGAACACATGATCCCAGGCAGTCGGTATCTTGCGTCAGTCAACTCCAAGAAACATTTATCAATTAACCAGAAAATAGATTCTAAAATTCCTTCATGAGTTTTTTCATAAGGTTTAGTAATCCCCATCCACGTATCTTGGGATTCTTCAGACATTTTCGAGAAGGATTTGGTGATGGATATCAGCATCAATAGATGTCCAAAGCTGTTTTCGGCCGGGATGTTTAGTGGTCCTAGCAAGCAGTCTCTGAACACAGGGCGTTCAATAAAAATTGTCAAAAGTGGTTCACATGATATAACAACTTGGCGATTAATTTCGTCACTGTGAACGACAGACATCGTCTTTTCTAACCATTGGGGAGAATTTTTGTGAATGAATATTAAAATATCGTAAATATCTTTATCAGTTCTCGATTCATGTAGAAAACTCAAGTATTCTTTACATAAACTGATCAATATTTTTATCTGAAAACCAAGAATTTTCACTGATTTTTGGAATCCCTTTTCATCAGATTGATTCCATGCTGCATCTGGTTGATCAGGCATTTGTTGCAGTAGATATTGATAACCAGACTGAATCTCTTGACATAAATACACAACCATTTCACTAACATTCACAACATCGCCAAGAAACTGGATGTACTGGACTAAAAGTCTTGAAATTGATTTCCATAAGCTGACAATTAATTTGATATCAAGTGATGTAACAGTTCGACAGATACGAAACAATCCTGTACACACAGAATTCAAAATATGGACATTTCTCTCTGAAAGAGATTCAGGGGTTTGGAGTTTGTCCATTAAGCTCAGAAAGCTTATCTGTATGGCATGAGATTTCTTGAAAAGCATTGACAGAATTTCAGAGAACATTTCTAAGTCATAATCTTTGTATGTTTGACTGCTTTCTTTACAATGCTGGTACGTTTTGTCAATTAGACCAACCACGCAACTTGGTACAGAGGAAATGTCATGAATATATATTGATTGGTCACATGCACTGACATATTTCAAACAGTTTTCCACACATTCTAATAGAGTGAACATCCTTCGAAGAGATTGATTGACATGTTCACACACAAATTCCTGGTCTCGATCTTCAGCGTTTTGATTCATTTGCAAACAATCCTCTATCAAGCTCAAGCAATCTTGAAAAACAGTCTCAATTTCACTGCAAAATTTACTAAAGAGAGTCTTTTCTGCATCTTTAAGCTTCAGACAAGGTAGAAATTGGTTGCACAGAATTTGTATGGCCATAAATTTTTCTTCAGAAGCAGACGAACATGAATTTGACAATTTTTCAAGAACTTTTGGCAATGTTTCAGTCCATTTCTCCTCACATTCATGCCTGTCCCAATTTGAAATTTCTTGTAAATCATCTATCTGTGACAAAGACATGTTAAAATAAGAAAAGCGTGTGCAAAGAATTGGTATATCTTGAGTAAAAGTCTAAATTTTGAAATTTATTACAACTAAAGCAGCCATGTTGGATTTGTAGTTTCCGCCAAATAATTCTCGATCATCCTGACCGAAAATTAATACGTGAACAATAACTAGATATATGTCTTGATGATCAAGACAATAAAGCGCCTAAAGATGGTGGTGAGTAAATTTTGGACATGGTAGTGAGAGTTTTAGGGTCAATAGGTCACAACAGTCTACTATTGCTTGGCAACGGAAACTGCCGAGGATTGCCAAATGATACACCCTACAGTTCACCAAAGTCAACTCTTGGTTTTATCGATTCTTCGTGTAAAAAAAAAAAACTAATTTTTTGCCTAGCCTACAATATTTAAGTGCAAATATTTCAAAAAAATTCTATTCATTTCACTCACACTTTTATTCAAGGAATTAAGCACCACTTGAACTACTCCCCTTTAAGACCCCC